CTGCTTTGGGGAAGTGATCAGTAGTATTTTTTTTTTATTTTTACACAAAAAATTTCTTTGCTATAAGCATGCATTTATACCTCAATGAAATCGATTCATTCAGGGGTTTTTTTTTGTGCTTAGCTGTGATTTGGCCACAGCTAATCACATGACACAGCTGGGCTGTGATTGGCCCAGCTTGTGCATGTGATCGCTAGACACACTTGTATACAATGGATGGCATGAAAGGAAGCCATCCATTGTATACAACTGTCATGTGACCTGCTGTGATTGGTCACAGCAGGTCACATGGTACTGGCAACGGGGCTGGTACACAGATCTGTCATCGGCCGTGTCCGAGGTACGCGGCTGGTGACAGATCGCGCCACTGCACAGCCCTGTGGCCAGGCGCAATACGCATGCCTGAAAGGACGCCATATGGCATCCACCTGGAAGGACAAGCTGTTCGCCCCAGCCGCCATCTGGCTTTAGGCCGGGCAGGAACTGGTTAAAGAAAATCCCTTCCCATTTCATGCTGTCAGCAATGGCACCACATGGAAGAGAAATGTCACAAGGCCTGAGAAAGAAAATAATTATTCTTTACACAAAGGTGACAACTACAAGATCAGCAAAGCTTTACTTATCAGTCAGAATACTGCAGCAATAGTGATACAAAAATTTAACAAAGAAGGAACTACAAACCATCTCACAGAACTGAAAGCATCTCACAGAGACGTCCCGACCTTACACAGAAGTTAACACCTCGACAGGAGCGTCATCTGATTAGAAGGATTAAAGAAAATCGGCATGCAAGTTCACTGCAGTTAGCTTAAGAAGTAGAAAGCCAAACTGGGGTGATTGTTTCCTGTGACACAATACAACGATAACTGCAGAGAAATGGCATGCATGGGTGTCGTCCACAAAGGAAGGGTCTCCTAAAGCCCCTGCACCAAAAAGCCACCTAAAATTTGCCAGGGCCCATGCTAAAAAAGAAGACTACTGGGACTCTGTACTCTGGAGTGAGGAGACCAAGATAATTGTTTTTGGAAATGATGGCTTCAAAACTGTATGGTGTCACAAAGGTGAGGAGTGCAAAGAAAAATGCATGGTGCCTACAGTGTGCCTACAGTGTACTTCTGTGGGGCTGCATGAGTGCTGCTTGTGTCAGGGAGCTGTATTGCATTGATGGGATCATGAGTCAGCGGCCAATGTCTCCTGATCTAGACCCAATTAAACACCTATGAGGAATTCTGAAGAGACAAGTTTAGCATCACTCTCCATCCAGCATTCTGGCTCTAGAGGTTGTTCTTGAAGAATGGAAGAAAATTGATGTTGCAATATGCCGTTGACTTGTTCATTCAATGCCTATAAGACTTGGTGCTGTCCTTACAAATCATAGAGGTCATATAAAATACTAGATGGAGTAGTTTTTCTTGCGGGGTATTTTCATTTATTAACCTTACTTTCATGTAAATGAGCCAAACCAATGTTCTATAAAACTCAGTTTTGTCAAAATTGTGGAAATTGTTCTTGTGTTCATTGAGATATTGATTAAAATCTTACTTTTCAAAAGGGCTGTACTCATTTATACTGAGCACTGTGTATTTGCAAAGGTTTACCCATTCACTATATATTTTCACTGCTGTCTGTATAGATTTAATCTATATTCACTAATGTGTCATTTCTAGCGCTGCACACTCTTACATTTTATAAGCCGTTCAGAAATTGCAGGTACTGGCGTTTCATCGGTAGAACACTGCAGAGAATACTTTGTGACTGGAAGACAGCCTAATCATGTGACATGTCAAAGTCATATGACCTGGCTCTCCTCCACCTGGCATGTTTCCATTCCATTCATTGAAATAAATGGGGCTTCACTTGCACAAAGTCCCAAAGCAAAATCCAAAGCACCATGCATGTTGCTGTAATTTAGAAGTGTGCCAGTGAGATTCTTATCTAAAGCAGCGGTAAGGCCATAACGCCTCTTTATATATAGGCCACATAGTGTGCTAAAGGTAAGCGCTGTTGACAATACCAAGGATTTATTTTTTAACATCAACTGTTCAAATGACATGGAAGCCAACTGGTTGCTGAGGTGAACAAGACATTTTACTGACATATTTTCCTTACATTAGACACAAAAAAGGGTAATCATCTGTGACAAAAACACTGTGGGATTGATTTACTAAAACTGGAGAGTGCAAAATCTGGTGCAGCTGTGCATGGTAGCCAATCAGCTTCTAACTTCAGCTTGTTCAATTAAGCTTTGACAAATAAAACCTGGAAGCCGATTGGCTTATATGCAGAGCTGCACCATATATTGCACTATCCAGTTATTAAATCAACCCCTATGTGTTTGCAAAGCAAGCAATTCACCTAAATAAATTAAAGCCCAACTCCAGACTGGGCACTTAATCTCCAGCTGCTGACCTCCGTTCTGAAGTCAAGTTGGTCACATGATGGTGCATTATCCTCATTTTCCTCTTCAGGCTGGGTCTCAAAGATGCAGAGCACAGCACTGGTGTGATGAGATCAGCGCTGTTCTGTGCACCATTACACAGTGAATGCTGGCCACTTCTCCACATGGGGTGGGTCCAAGACACCCTACACTCACAGTATGTACTGGCCAGATGGACTGAAATTCTGCCAGTTCAGTGGGGACTGGCTGAATTTCGATCCATATGTAGCCATGCTGGAAGTCAATTGTTAGATCAACTTATGTCAAACTGGCTTGTTGAAAATTATTTCTTGATCAGTGTATTCTGACATTGGAGAGCCCCGCTGTTAGAATACAATGTCCCATAGAGGTGGATTCCTCCATCCTCCTCTATTGTGTGGGATGGAGGAACCGGTTCATCTTTTTGTTCAGAGAGCAACAAGCTTTAGTTGTCTAGGTTCAGTGCCACCAGGCTTCACTCAGTCTGAAAGATTTTTTCCTTCTAAAACACTGGGCGCCAAATTAAATAAAAAAAAAAAAGAAAACACAAAACACAGGAGATGGGTTTTAAGCCTTGCCTTCTATTAGGTCCATAATTTGCAAAGCTCCTGTGTACCACACTGAGAGCTGTGTAGCTCCAGACAAGCAACACTTGTAATAGTAATAGATAATGAGTAACATCCACACACTATGATCCTAAGGAGTTACTAATAATGTAACAATAACACATAATATATCCGTAATAATACAGCAATAAATCATATGATGTAACCATATTAATATATGTACACTTCAGGTAAATGGGCAAACAGATCCTCCTGGAATGAACAGGTTTTCTGAAGTAAATTTATAGCAAGTTACTGCTGAAAACAGTTGATTCCAAGGGGCTCAGATACTTTTTGTTGCCAATTTAAATTGTATGAATGAGAACGGATTTTTATATACACTAAGCTCCGTTCTGTGCAGGAACATACTGTACTCCAGCAAGCACAGTCATTTGTGTATTGCAGCAATGGTTTATATATCTAAATGTAATATACAACAGCTTACCAGTCCTAAGACATGGTGGCTGCCTGATTTTTCTTATCTTAGTAATATTACCTGGTGATCCAGTATTAGGACAGGACTACAGCGCACCTCCCCTTTCCACATCTTCATAACAAAGGTAAAGGCCTTCCTTATATTTGCAGAAAACTTTTTTTTTTTTTTCCCCATCAATCAAAATCAGCCTCTCCTGACCTCAATCAAGTAATAAAAGCAACTTTTTTCTACACCACACTAGTGGCCGATACACTTACAAATTCAAACAGCTTTTGGGACTAGGGCTGAGCAGATTCTGAATCGATCTGTCAAAACCTAAAAGAAGGCATTTAAGATTTTTTTTATGTTTTTTTTCTAATATATTCCAAGACATTTTTCAATATTCAGCCTTATATCCTTTCTAATCTAATAACAAAGACTTTTCATCTACCAAAAAAACATTTTCTAATTAAATTTAAGTCCATACTAGAATAAAGACACATTAACACATGAGATCAAAAAGTAAGAAAAGGGAAAAAACATTTTCTTGAAGAAATTGCTGCTCTAAGCTACTTTCCAGGCTGAGAACGTATGATGAGGTGAAAGCACTTGGTCAGGTGAGCTCTGCTGAGGGGAAAGGTCAGTCATTCTGAACTCTAATCTTCACATGACCAAGTGCCCAAGTTTTCAGACATAAATGTGGCACTGAAGGGCAAACGTTAGCAGCATCTCCTCTAGGATAGGGTTATTTTGGCCCTTCTATTACTGCTCATATATCCATGTCATGAAGGCGTACAAGTCTAACTAAAGTCCCCACACACTGCGTGTCCTCTAATCCTCCTACCACCACAATGAAGATGTAAAATGTCATCACAACTCGGTTAGCACTTCTGCCTGGTAGTACTAGGGCCGCTGGTTCGAATCCCAACCATAGCACCACCTGCCTCGAGTCTGCATGTTCTCCCTGTGCCTGCGTGGGTTTCCTCCGGGTATTCCGGTTTCCTCCCACACTTCAGACATGCCGGTAGGTTAATTGGCTCCTGTTTAAATTGGCCCTAGTATGTGTATATATGAATGTAAGTTAGGGACTTTAGATTGTACGCCCCTTGAGAGTTAGGGACTGATGTGAATGTATAATACATATATAAAGTGCTGCGTAAATTGACAGTGCTATAAGTACCTGTAATAAATAAATAATATAAAACTCAATCATATCACAGATATCACCTCCCTTCACCATCACCAGACCAGAGTTCCCTACATTCCTTGGCACTGACCCTATTTTCTTGCCTTCGGAGTTCCCAGTACATATAAGTAAAAATGCTACCATAGAAGAACTAACATGGACCGATAAATATGTCATCGTTTACGGATTACCAGACCAATTCACAATGCCCACAAAAAAAAAACCTCACATACGGGCATAAGAATAAACCACAAAATGTGCAACTCATGAAGACCAAACAGAAGGTAGGATAGCAGAAAAGTATTTCTGAACACTCACCCGGACATCTGCAAGAAGAGCTTCTGGATCTTGAATGCCATCAGGCAGGCACTTCTTGTGTGGGGGGAGAGATTCAAGCTTCTTAACAAGGCAGAGTAAGCCTTCAAGCTCAAACCATGTCAAACATGGAGGTGTGTTGCTGGGTGGTGAGGGAGGGGTAGGTGGAGGTGGCGTGAGAGGCCGGTGTGCAGTCTGAAAGTTAGAAAGGAGCACCCTTTCCTCCTTGCGCTCTTCCTCATGCTCCCTCTGCCGTCGTTCCCTTTCTCTCCTCCTTTGAAGATCCCGCTCAGATTTCCTTCTCTCTCTGTCTCTTTTCCTTAAGCCCTCTTCTTCCTCCCAATCCTGATCGGATGAGTCATCATATTCAGAGGATGAAGAAGAGGGGGAAGATGAAGAGGAGGAAGATGAAGATGAAGAGGGTGTGTCTGGTCTCCGGCGGCCATTTAACTCCAAGTCTAAATTAGAAAAAAAAAAAAGGATTACTACAAACCTGGTATGTATATCGAAAGAAATTTAACTTCTGACTTTCAGTTTGTAAGAATGTCAAAATGATGAAAATGAATTTCGGAACCAGTCAGCTGAGCTGATTCTGTCACAGCTGAGAGGGCGCCATTGTTCGAATGTCACACACAGAGACGTGCAAGACCTGGAACTAGCACCACTTCACAGAGCTGGATAGGAGACATTAGGCATTGGCTGTTCTACCAGGTTCCATGGGAGTGCAATAAAATGCTAAGCCCTTTAAAAATAAACTACAGGAAAATATAGAAGACACAAACTGAATACATAATCAAATGTCAGGGTTATGCCCTGTGTCCCTCAATGGACTCCAAGAAAAGCATTTTACAGTAGGCAAAAAACAAAACAAAAAATAAAAAGGGAAGCCAGTAAAATCCATTTTCTAGAGTACAGTTCAGGACTCAGACTCTTTAAGCATTGTGACTGGGTTATATACAGCTACCTTTGGATGACTGGACACTGGCAAAAAAAAAAAAAAAAAAAAAAAGGAAGATACTGAAGGGATAACCCCTACTTCTTCCAGCTAGACCTTAGGTTTGCAGCAAGCATTAGGGAGATCATAAAAGAAAGGAGGGACCCATGTTCTGTACTGTATTCCAGGAAACTGATTTTATCAAAAAAGTTAAAAATCCTATTTTCCAAGTCATACAGAACAAGACACTGGTTCTTTAATCATTACAGATGTTATGTCCAAAAGAGGTCTATTGGAGGGGCGGGCAACATAGATATCACTAACAGGCCCATATAACAATCAGGTCTACAAAGGACTGACAGATTTAGAGAGCAACTAGTAGCACCATACACAAAAACAACTGGCACCTGATAAACCTTAAAGCGGAGCTCCACCCAAAAGGGGAAGTTCCTCTTTAAGCCTTTGTTCTCTGCTCCCCATTAAGGATTGGCACCTTTGGGGAGCGGGTACCCGAATTTAACAAGTACCTGCTCCCACTTCACACTGAAGATGCCGGCACCAGGGAGAGAAGACGACCAGTGCAACCAGCGGTGGTGAGGACACCGCTGGACCAAGGGACAGGTAAGTGGCTGTATTTTAAGGTCAGCAGCTACAGTTTTTGTAGCCGCTGACTTTTTTGTTTCCCCAGGTGGAACTCTGCTTTAACAAATATTAACAGAAGCACCTAGGCCCAAACAGCAACCTGGTAGACCTCAAAGACCAAGCCTTTTCTTGCACTTTAAATGTAACAATCTGGATTTTTTGCTAGCCTTTTTAGAACCCCAAACATATATATATATTTTTAAAGCAGAGGCCCTAGAGAATAAATTGATGGGTTTTGCAATTTTTTATGTCACACAGTATTTGCGCAGAGATTTTTCGAACACAATTTAAAAAAACAAAAACAAAATACACTTTTTTACTTTTAATGCAAAAACAATACAGAACCCAATTTTTTGGCAGACTATAAAATATGATGTTACGCAGAGTATATAGATACCAAATATGTCACGCTTTAAATTGCGCACGCCCGCATGAAACTGCGACAAATGACGGAAATGTTATGATCAATAAGCAACGCTTTAAAAGCCTTTACAGTTTACCACTTCAGATTTAGAGGTAGTTTGGTGCTAGATTTACTGCACATGATCTGACATTCGCAGTGATACCTCGCGTGTGCAAACAGTCACTGTATTTTTTATCACTTTTATTGCTGTAAACATCCCATGTGACAGCAATAGGCATATGACAGGTACTCTTTATGGATAGATCTGGAGTCTATAAGACCCCACATCTCTCCTCTGCCCTAAAAAGCATTTGATCGCATCAAGATCGGTGTGATCAAATGCTTTTTTTTTTTTTTTATTATTATTATTATTATACAGTATTTATAAAGCGCCAATAGTTCGCTCAGCGCTATACATTACAAAGGGGGACAGAACAATACCAATACAATGCAAAACATGAGGGGATCAAGGGCCCTGCTCTTTCGAGCTTTTTTTAGAAAAATGGTGCCATTTACATCCGTGTAAGCTGGAAGTGATGTAAGGTCATCGTTCCCGGGTTACTATTTAATACAGCTGAACAAAGCTGATCCAGTCTTTGTTTGGCTCTATGATCAGCCAACGGGGTATAACTACTTAAAGTGAAGTGGTTAATAAATGTGTGAACAGAAGCCCAGCCTTGCAAATCTGAGAAACAGGGGCCGGATTTGACAGAAATGTGCATTAACAGGTAAAGGGAAGAACCAAATCCTTCAGAATGTAAGCCCTAATGATAACATGATTCAACTAGCAATAGAGCAAGATGCAAGAATATCTTTGTAGGAACCTTCAGTGAATACAAGAAGGAATCCATTTTCCAAAAGGAAGCAGTAGCAGAAAAGGTAAAGTCTCAATTATTTTTGACCACATACAGTGAAGAGAAATTTCCCTGGGATGTGTTGCAGCAGAACACAAAGGAGGAAGAACAATGGATGGCAGAGACCACCCTTGGGACAAGTAGGCTTTAGGACACTGTCCTTGTTCAAAACTAGGAAAGGCTCCTTACAGGCCTTTAATTCAGAAACTCGCACTGCAGAGATGACAGAAACAAATAAAACTGGAAATAGATTACTCCATTCTTTTCGATCAGCCAGTGGATTGATAAAAAAAAAAAAATGAATGGATTCTCCCATCCACACAATTGAGGTGGATGGAAAAATCCTCTTCCAGTTCGAGGAGTTCATCATTAGATCAATTCGTCTTGAATGGACACAGCCATAGAAAATGATGAAGGGGTACAGTTTTGAATTCTATATGGTACTCCTTTAAAACCACCAACTAAACCCACTGCTCTGGGACATCTCTGACCGAGAGAAAGGCAAACTGTAAACAGATGTCCCCAACTCTTAGGAACGAAGGAGCCTCCTTCACTTTGGGTGGACTTGGTAGGTTTTGTGTTCCAAGTCTTGCTCCGAAAGGAAGGGCTGAGTTTTGGGTTTAAAGATGAAGCCTCAGGAGAACAATGAAGTGCTCTTCCTTTTGAGGAGGCAGAAGCCTCAAAGAAGGGGGTTTAGGAACCTTCCACTGTGGAAGAAGTACTTTTTCTCCTGTGACATCTTTGGTGAATTTGTTAAGTGCCTCACCAAATAGACACGTGAGGGGACATTTGTAAACATCCTCCTTTTAGTCATAAGAATCTGCGCATATGGACAGAAATGAGAGTCATTTTGGAGATCTGTGTCATGACTTATTTTAGGGTATCAAAACACAAAAGAGTATGGCAGAGGGCAGTGCCTGCAAGTGCTCTGCCAACGGTCAATCCTGAAAGATAGGAACCAGCAGGTTGTTTGTTGCCCTAGTCCAGTGGTCGGCAAGCCGCGGCTCGCGAGCCACATGCGGCTCTTTACACACTTTAATACGGCTCTTGTGTGCCGGGCGCCCGCTCCCCTCCCTCCCCTCGGGCGGCAGGGACTCTGCAGCGTGATCAAAAAAAAAAAAACAGCCAGGGCAGCGCGCTCAAATGCAATGATTGGCCAGTCTCGCTGCCACTCACATCCTGATAGCCAGTGATTGGCTGTCAGGATGTGTGTAGGCGGGGCAGCGTGACGAACGTGAGAGGAGCTAGGCTCCTCTCACAGTCCGCCCTGAAGACCGGAACGGCGCGGCAACATGGCGAGAGGAACGCGCGGAGCAAAGGTAAGTGAATTGACACAGGGGGGACTTGGCTTACTACTTGCTACTTACTTACTACTACTATATGGGGGATGAATTAATATGGGGGATGAATTACTATATGGGGGATGAATTACTATAGGGGGGATGAATTACTATAGGGGGGGATGAATTACTATAGGGGGGATGAATTACTATAGGGGGGATGAATTACTATAGGGGGGATGAATTACTATAGGGGGGATGAATACTACTATAGGGGGGATGAATTACTATATGGGGGATGAATTACTATAGGGGGATGAATTACTATAGGGGGGATGAATTACTATAGGGGGGATGAATTACTATAGGGGGGATGAATTACTATAGGGGGGATGAATTACTATAGGGGGGATGAATTACTATATATGGGGGATGAATTACTATATGGGGGATGAATTACTATATGGGGGAATGAATTACTATATGGGGGATGAATTACTATAGGGGGGATGAATTACTATAGGGGGGATGAATTACTATAGGGGGGATGAATTACTATATGGGGGATGAATTACTATATGGGGGATGAATTACTATATGGGGGGATGAATTACTATAGGGGGGATGAATTACTATAGGGGGGATGAATTACTATAGGGGGGGATGAATTACTATATGGGGGATGAATTACTATATGGGGGATGAAATTACTATGGGGGATGAATTACTATATGGGGGATGAATTACTATATGGGGGATGAATTACTATATGGGGGATGAATTACTATATGGGGGATGAATTACTATATGGGGAATGAATTACTATATGGGGAATGAATTACTATATGGGGAGTGAATTACTATATGGGGGATGAATTACTATATGGGGGATTAATTACTATGGGGGATGAATTACTATATGGGGGATGAATTACTATATGGGGGATGAATTACTATATGGGGGATGAATTACTATATGGGGGATGAATTACTATAAAAACTTATTGAAACTAAAAACAGTGTACCATCCTATGTATTTTCAGTTTTAAAAATGTGGCTCTCAAAATAAATTTCAATCGTGGTTTTGGCGAGATTTGGCTCAGTTGAAAAAAAAGGTTGCCCACCACTGCCCTAGTCCAATTACCTGCGGTCTGGGAAACAAATTGCAGCAATAGCTAGTTGAAGAACAAAGCCTGCCAGGCTAAAGAGCTTTTAAAAGCATCTCTAATTTTTCTGTCAGCAGAATTTTTAAATGGAAGAACACCTTCTATATGCACAGTATAATGTTTAAAGTGGTGTGAAACCCAAAAGCAAACATTTATTGTATTGCAGCTCACCAATTCTTAGATGTGATGGCTGCATTAGGTTTTCTTTCATTTTCACCTGGTAATCCCACCAATAAGTCTGTTGTTTTTCAACAAACCAAGCTGTCCTGCAGATGTAACAGTTAGAGGGATGAAACAAACCATTTAACACTGACAGCAGTGCTCACAATGGTCAGCTTTTAGTCATTAATGTAAATCTTGATCTCAAAAAAAAAAAAAAACTGTTGCAGTAACTGCTTAAAAAGTGTTTTCTGGAGTTTGCTTTCAATTTGTTTAGTGTATCAAATCTTCTAGTGCATCTAACACTTCCCTGCCCAGACTGAGAATGTTGCTGTCCAAAGGTGTCTCCTGTTGCTCTGTCATGCAGAATGTAGGCACTCTAATGCAGGGAGTTGGTCACAGGGGGAAAAAGAGGCTACAAAGAAATCTAATGCAGCCATCACCTCTAATGATTGGTAAGCTGCAATATATTACATTTTTTTGGTTTGGGATTTAATACCACTTTAAGACTGAGGTGGCCGGGTCTACTACTGAAACAGACGTTTCAAAACACAATCCTGTTTTTCTGATAGTTTTTAACAGATAAATACATACTAATCGGGATTTCATTAGTGTAAAGTAAGTAAAGACAGTATATTGGTAAAGAATAAAGGGTGCCCCTGTTCATGTCACTGTTCTCTATATAGGGCTGAGGCTTTGCCCGTCATGGTGGGCATGCCCCTGAAAGGGTCTCCAGGATCTTGGTTCCATAGGCATGGATCACATCCCTGGATCTGTATTGCACCCTGAAGCCAATTAAACGCATTGCACCCAGTGCCACAGTGATTGCCCATCCAGTATCTAGTGCCAGAAGCAACATTACAGGCTGTCACCACAGCATGGTCTGGGTAAAGCTTCCAAGGTTTTAGTTTCACCGATTCGGATACACTGCTTCTGCTGTTGTTTTAAAAGACAGTGAGGAGTTTACTGAAGAATCAGAAGATAAAATAATAAAGTAGTTAAGTGAAAAGCAATTTCTCCATAAGGGAGAAGAGATCCATCACCTTAGGACACTTTTGGCACGGGGTAAGGTTAAGGGTGTGGGGGAATGCCCAAGGGGCACAGCCTCAAAATCTTGCCAGTGTCCAGTCCCCTGAAGGTATCAGCCTATAACTCAGGGTTTATGAATATCAGGCCTCTCTCCTGTACCGTTTGATTAAGGTAATGAGACACCTCCTGACTCTTTAGCCCGAGCAGCCTGAGGCAATGCCACGGCTCTGAACCTGGAGAGCACTTGGTAGCCAACTTTTACCAGCGCACAAAGGTTTGGAAAGCTCCACAATGTAGAGCCCAAAGATAACACGTCAAGCTACCCCTGCATGTCCAGTCCACTAGAGTCCAGGTACTGCACTTTAAATTCATTCTTAAGAAAGGCAGGTCTGGCCTGTAGAGGTCAACTTAAAGTGATATTAAACTTTCGTTTTTTGTTTTATTTTTTTAAATAACAAACATGTCTATACTTACCTGCTCTGTGCAATGCTTCTGCAGAGAGCAGCCCTGATTCTACTCTTCTTGGGTCCCCTGCCGGCACTCCTGGCCTCTCCTCTTCGGCGGGTGCCCCCAAGGAAAGCTACTTTCCATGGGGGCACCCATGCGAGCTTGCTCCCAAGCCACCCTGTCTGCATCCATTGACACAAAGAGAGCAGCTCGGCCCTGCTGTGTCACAGCATTTGACTGACAGCAGAGGGAGCCAATGCTTCTGCTGCTATTAATCTGCTCAATGAGAAGGAAGACAGCTGCTAGAGCTGCTGCTCTTGTGCACATTGTTAGATCAGATTGGGCTCAGGTAAGAAAAAGGTGTGGGGGGAGCTGCAGCAAAAGAAGGTTTTTCACCTTAATGCGTATAATGAATTAGGTGAAAAGCCTTAAGGTTTTAGAACCACTTTAAAGAGAGAGAATCTTGGCTGACCCAGGCAGAGTACACAGTCAGAATTACTTCTGTTTTATGTGTTTTCTTGGCATTTGTACCCATAACCAAGAAGTAAGCAGGCACTCACCTATACTCAGCGACTCCCTCTGAAAGTCCTTGGTGAGGTGTGATTGTTTGGTCATGCAGTAGACATATCTCTCCAACACATACCAGCACATCTCATAGTAGAATGGGTAGCGAAACTTTGTGGGGACCTGACAGGTAGAAAATGGTGTATTTATTAGTTGCTACAATGCAGGCCTCACGTATGCAAAAAAAACTTTAAAAAAAAAGGAGTTTGGCAATGCCTCCTGAAAAAAAAAAAGTGAAATTGCTTTATTATACAGAAGGTATTTTGGTTAAGTCTCACCCACTGGATTATTACAGCTTTACAGTGTCTTTGCTGTGCTGTTTCAGTATGTAAGTGTTCATCAGAAAGAGGAATTTATTGTTAGTCAGTATGTGAAATACCAGGAAGAGGATTCTCCTGGAGTACCAATAGTGTGGTTTTGGACAATGATTATAGGAAAATGTAACCTTCAACAACAGAAGGAATAGCTTCAGAATAAATGCTACATGACACGGCAGTCTGTCAATGACTACAACACCCACCAGGTCCTAATGGGTCATACAGCCTTTGCAGACACCCATCAATAGCCAGTATTGTTTCAGCATACTGGGCATCATTAGTGCAAGGCTGGTATAGACAGTAGCTAGGCCTTCTGAATCAAAGCATTGTAAATTGGATAGAGGATTGAAATACTGCTTTGCCATGTAAAATGTCATGCAACTTAAATTACTTTCACCTTCTAGTAAGGGCAATATGAATACAATTTTCCAAGGGCATAGGTTCTCGCACTAAACGACACTCACAAAATTGACATGCAGTGCTCTGAACACAGGGCAGCCAGATGACACTTCGCCAACAAATGTGTCCATAACAGCATGGTTTTAGAGGAAGTGGTTTGCATGACATTGCCCAACATTCAACCCAAAAGACTGGTGGCATTTAGTGGCAGAAAGGAGCTATTTTGGGGCAAGCCCTGGATTAAGGCAAATATTCCAGCAAAGAAATGTTTAGTTTTTCCCAAGCATTTTTTGAAACTGAGAGTTTCAGTTTATTAACCCAGGTGCTGAGGCTTACAGTCACAGATCTGACATTTGATAATAATGACTTTTACCAAGAAAGAAGGATTTTTGACTTACCTGTAAAGTCCATATTTTGGGAGTACAGTACAGGACACAGACTGAAGTTTTGTTTGATTGATCTGTATAAGCAAAGAAAAACTAACTCCAGTGTATACTCGGGAATCTTGTGTTTATTGGCAGGTAACAGATGACAGCCACAATTGACATTTGTGGCTGTCATTTGTTACCTGTCAATAAACATAAGATTGCAAAGTATCACCGCTGTCTTGGCTTTTGTTTACTTATACAGATCTTGTGAATGAGGAGGCAGCACTGATAAAGCCACACTGTAATACTGGGAGGTAGAAGCACCTACTTTTATGTATTTGAAGTTTCATTTACCGTGTGTATAGGAAGGTACAGTCTGGTAACTGGACACTGGCAAGATTTTGAAGACATGCTCCCTGGGTGTACCCCCTATAAGTCTAACTCACTCTGAGTCCTCAGTTTTGTGGCATGCAATGCAGAGTAACACAGAAATAGAAGGGTGTCCTGTACTGTACTCCAAGATACAGATTTTACAGGTAAATCAAAGCTCTTTCTATCTTAATCATACAATACAGGATACAGGCTGAATATTCATTGACCCTGGGACATCCGCAAGCAACAAATGAAAAGAATGGGCAACAAGTAGGCAAACAGACATGCTAACAGGTCCAACAATAACAAGAGTCAACAGCCCAACTTCCAAATGCTGCTGCCAGAACCTTGCGGCAAAAGACTGGGCATCCACATGGTAGAACTTTGAAGAGGTATGAACAGAAGACTAGGCGGTGGCCTTACAAATCTGGGTAACAAAAACTTGATGTCGGAATGTCCAAACAACTATTGACCTGTTGGAACAACAGAGAAAACACGCAGGAGGAGTTTGTCTTTTTAACGTAAGCTTTGTGAATGGTTTCTTATCCATCTAGCGATGGTGAATTTTAAAAGCAAGATGCCCCTTGAGTAGTCCTGAGGAAAAGTGGAGTCCATCTACCCCATCACAGGCTGTAGCTTTGAGGTCGTCTATGGTGGCTCTGACTAAATCCAGGCAGTCAAGAGCAATTTAATTTGGAGCAAGGCAGTTGGGAAGGTCTACGTTTTCAATGAGGTGGAAGACGGATACTACCTTAAGAAGAAAGGATGGTCTTGAATGTAAGACTACTTTGTCCTTGTGAAGAAGATAGTCCCTAGTTCAGATAAACTTTTGACAGAGAGCAATCAAGAAAGCCACTTTGCAGGAGAGATCATATAAGGGAATTACCTTAATGGGTTCAAGAGATGATTTTGGCAGGGCAGAGAAAACCAGATTAAGGCCCCAAGGAAGCACAGGGTGCTGTAAGGGAGGCCTGATTTGAGAAACACCTTGAGCAAAGACGAGGGAGAGCAAGGCAAGAGGTTTTTGGAAAATAATTCACAAAGCCGCAAATTAGTCCTTTCAGAGTACCTAAAGCAGAACTAAAATCCACAAAATATATACCTCTGCTTCAACAGTCCAAGGTCCCTTGCCAGCATCTTCTCTTCATCTTTCTATGGGTGCCGGTCTTTGCCTACCTTGATTTGCTGGCGTGGGCTGACCTCACTCTCATGCAAGCGAAGAAGTACTATCATCCCGACAGACAAGCACGGTTCCGGAACATAAACTGAGCTGCAGGTAGCCAGGTAGATTTTACTTTAAAAGGGACTATACATGTCTCTTCTGTAATAAAGAGCCTGCCCGACTGAAGGTTATATCTGAGACTCTAGTTCCACTTTAAGGTCAAATTCTGGTCAAGTTCTGATTGCAGGGAGGCCAGATTGCTAGGCACAGAATAATTTCTGGGACTAAAGTGTACCAGGCAAAGAAGGATCTCCAGGTTCGATTGTAGTTTTTAGTGGCTTTTCTTGTTTTTAGCAAAGCAGGAATGACAGACTCAGCCATGCCATTAATCCCAAAGACTAAGATGCAGGATGGAACAAGGGGTGCAGGGAGAGCAGGTCTGGCCAGCTGGAAGAATACAGGGGTCATCTCCTAGCAGTCAAAGTATGTATGTGAAACAGGTTTTTTCTGGGCCAGTTTGTTGCAATGAGAATCACAAGTTTCTTTTCTTGCTCTATTTTGTGGAGCAGTCAAGGCAAAATTTTCACTGTAGGAAAAGCATAGATTACCTTGATCTGAGTCAAGGAAATTATCAGCTCATCCAATGCCAGTGCAAGATGATCGTGGTCCTGGCCTCAGAGGTAACTTGTGGTGGAATCTGAAGAATATGATATCCATGTCCAGAGTACCTCACATCTGACAGATCAGGCTGAAAATGTTGGGATGAAAGGCCCATTCCCCCTGGTCCTTTGGTGAAGGCTGAGGTAATCCATTTTCCAAATCTCCACTCCTGGGATGTAGACATCAGAAATCGGTGGATAGCATTTTCCCATTCATGGGATGATCAGGCTTGCTTCCTTCAAGGCTGCAGGACTCCTAATCCCCCCTTGTTGGTTGTTGTAGCCCACAGCCATGGCACTGTCTACTTGAACCCTGATGGGGTATCCTTGTATCAGGGGGGTCCAGTGGAGAAGAGCCATCCTTATTTCTCTGAGCTCCAGGATGTTGATGGAGAGCTTAGCTTCCTTTAATGACCATGTTCTCTGATGAAAAATTGGAACCCTCTGCCCCAGCCTGAAAGACTGGTATCTGTCTTTATCACCTTCCAGTAATATGGCAGAAATTACTTCCCCATAGTCAAGGCAGGGCAAATGCCTTGCTTGGCTGGGTAGGAACATGAGTAGGTTGAAAGAAGAAGCAAGATGGTTCCATGCCAATAAAAAGTTGTGCTGGAGAGGCCTCAAATGAAATTGGGTGAATGGGATAGACTTATAAGCCTTAAAAGAGGATAATATGAGATGCAGAAATGTCATGGAGAATCTCAGTCCTAACCTTGAGTTCTGACAGAGAGCAATTTTATCTCTGGGAGGAAGACTTTTGTTTGGGCTGTGTCTAGGATCAGGCCCAAGTATTCTAGGTGAAGATGTTAATCACCCTACTGAAAAGCTGAAGGATGGGAATTGTACTGTGGATGTTTGCAGAAGCTGGAAGGGAGAGGCGTCCTTTAGAAGAGGGTCGTATAGATAACCTGTTACCTGGATACCCCGAGTTCTTAGAAAGTCAAGAAGAGGTGCAAGGAACTTTATGATTAGTCTAGGAACAGAAGATAGGAAAAATGGCAGTGCAACAAGCTATAAATTATTGTATCCTAATGCAAAGGAACCACCGATGAGGTGGATAAATGACAATACACAGGTAGGCATCTTGGATGTCTACAGATGCCCAGTATTCCCTATGCCAGAAAGACAAACACTGCCCTAGCAAATTCCATGCAAAATTTTGGAGTTTTAAAAATATCTGTTTAGGGATTCTAGGTTCAAGATAAGACAAATACCCATTGGGCTTTGGTACCATGAACAGATTTGAATAGAATCCTCTGAACAGGTCTTCTAGAGGTAATGGCATAACGGTTTCCTGGGACAAGAGATTGTTCAGGGCATTTTACAAATCCAGACAGTCCTTTGGCAAATTTTGGCTGACTTAAGTGATATGTAGAGTTTTTAACACTTTTTTTTTTTACCCATTTAAAATAACAGATTGAACCCACAGGTCTGGGACACCTGTGAACCAGAGATTGGCAAACTGTTTTATAAAAAAAAAGGCTCTAGGCAGAAGTAGCGGTAAAGTAAATGACCTGTGGTGTGATGCAACTGGTCATCCACCTGAGATTAAGCTCGGAGTGGGTTGAATTTTGGTGCCAGTGAATGAATGAATGCATTCCAAACACAGACTCGGTTTTTTGATAAATAAAATGTATAGTGTTCTGAATTGTGGGGCTACAGTAATGATTAATGATACAGGCTGACCCTGCTTTACCTGTCTATGACTCTGGTCTCTATATACATTCCAGGCTTCATCTGTCACAGTGGGAATACCTCTGAAAAGGTCTTCAGTTCTGGGTTACATAGGAGTGGATGGCAGCACTGGACCTGTATAGCAACTAACGACATATGTTGCACGAAATGCCGAGGTGAGTGTCGACGCAGGATCTATTGCTTGCATAAATATTACAGGCCATACCAACGGCATGGGCTCTGGGTATGTTTCCCGAGGTTATACCAATGCTGCACCAAACCAAAGCACAGTGAAAAGTTTATTGAAAAACTTTCAAGAAAAATAATAAACTAAGGTAATTTAAGCTAAGAGTGCTTTCTCCAGAAGAGGTCCATCACCTTAGGAAACTTGCAAAAAAAAAAAAAAAAACCCTAATGAATATGAATATTCAGTATGTGTCCTGTATTGTACGAAGATAAAATTTCTCCTTTAAGGAAGGTTTATTGCTTGTTGCAAATATAAAATTCTACTGCCATCATCCCAGTGCATGGAAAAAAAAAAAATGAAAACGGAGAGGAAGGATCTGATTGGTTACTATGGCAACTCAGACCCAGAAATGACAAAGCCTTCTACTCACCCTTGTTCTGTCTTCAACGTTGTATATCCGAAGCTGCATGGGGATGTTGAAACTATGTAGAAAATTCCCTCCAAAAACCAGAGTATCCTGAGGAGTGTATACTGCATGGATCCAACCTGTAAAAGCATAATCAAAAGTCTGAAATGTGGAAAAGTTATCCACATTACATTTGTTCTGTATACTGGTGCACTTATGCCAGTGACAAGCATGTAAGGGATTCACTGAGTCCTGCAGATGTTTACATGCTTTAAATACAGATAAACATCTGCAGGACTCGGTGAATCTCATACATAAGTGCACCAGTCATGTTGCCTCTACACAAAAGTTTAATGGTAACTTTACTTTTGTATGAGCAGCAGAACCGAGCAGATTGCACATATGGTTTCTTCTAACAGCTATCTGTGACGATGGCTGCGACAGTTGCATATTTCAGGACACAAATAAGACATAGGCTGTAAACACTGCTATAAAAATTGATAGATTGAGCCTGTAAAATCTTAATCTTGTCTGTATATGAGGCATGTACTTTCTATTTACACTCACCGGCCACTTTATTAGGTACACCTGTTCAATTGCTTGGTAACACAAATTGCTAATCACCCAATCACATGGCAGCAACTTAATGCATTTAGGCATCTAGACATGGTGAAGATGACTTTCTGAAATTCAAACTGAGCATCAGAATGGGGAAGAAAGGGGATTTAAGGGACTCTGAAGGGCATGGTTGTTTGTATGTACCTGATGGGATGGTCCGAGTATTTCAAAAACTGCTGATCTGCTGGGATTTTCACGCACAACCATCTCTAGAGTTTACAGAGAATGGTCCGAAAAAGAGAAAATATCCAGTGAGCGGCAGCTGTGTGGATGAAAATGCCTTCTTGATGTCAGACGAGAATGGACAGACTGGTTCGAGATGATAGAAAGGCAACAGTAACTCAGTAACCACTCGTTACAACCAAGGTATGCAGAATACCATATCTGAACACAAAACTCGTTGAATCTTGAAGCAGATTGGCTACAGCAGCAGAAGACCACACCAGGTGCCACTCCTGTCAGCTAAGAACAGGAAACAGGTTACAATTCTCACAGGCACCCCAAATTTGGACAATAGAAGACTGGAAAAACATTGCCTGGTCTGATGAGTCTTGATTTCAGCTGTGACGATCAAATGGTAGGGTCAGAATTTGGCCTAAACAACATGAAAACATGGATCCATCCTGCCTTAATATTTTCTTGGCACGTTGGGCCCCTTATTACCAATTGAGCATCATTTAAACGCTACGGCCTACCTGAGTATTGTTGCTGACCATGTCCATTGCTTTATGACTCCAGTGTCCCCATCTTCTGATGGCTCCTTCCAGCAGGATAATGCACCATGTCAAAAAGCTCAAACCATCTCAAACTGGTTTCTTGAACAGGACAATGGAGTGGAGTTCACTGTACTCCAACGGCCTCCGCAGTCACCAGATCTCCATCCAATACAGCACCTTTGCGGTGTGGTGGAATGGGAGATTGGCATCATGGATGTGCAGCCGACAAATCTGCAGCAACTGCGTGATGCTATCATGTCAATATGGACCAATATCTCTGAGGAATGTTTCCAACATCTTGTTGAATCTATGCCATCAAGAATGAATGCAGTTCTGAAGGCAAAAGGGGGTCCAACCCACTACTAGCAAGGTGTACCTAATAAAGTGGCTGATGAGTGTACAATCAGATAAGGGGGAACACAGAGAAATAGATCTTTATCTAAATACACAGCTACCTTGGGATAACAGCACAAAAGGTACCTGAAGGAATGACAAAGGTGTAGCCTTGTTTTAATTCCACACGTTGGCATTCATTCACTTTGTCGCCCAGGAAAATATCGCCTTGTTTCCCCGACAACAGCCAATTCTCATACATTTCCAGATTTTTGTCTGTAGGAGGTATTAGCCAGAAAACCTAGAAAAGACATTATCAAATCACACACATTATGCTTCAAAGCTATCAGCATGCTACTATGCAGTCTGTGCCTAAAATGCAGAAATAGAGGTTACTGAGTGAGACTTCTTTTAAAAACTTTTTTTACATTTAATCCCCTTACATTTCCGCCTTCTCTGTTTTTCAACAACACCTCCCACCCCAAATCAACACATTTATGACATTTGTAAAAAGAAAAATAAACTTTCCACTTGATTTTACACCTTGTGATGTCACTGACATTATCACTGGGCCTCTGTGGTTCTCTACACAATGTTGTCAGATTACTGCTGGTGGGAGGGTGCTGTGCATAGCATCCTTAACCGCTTCCCGTCCACCCTATAGCAGAAGTATTGCTATGGGGCAGCAGGGCTGTGCAAGATCACGTTAACACCACAGGTCTCTCTCCTGCCAGCAATAGCATGCTGCTGTGTATTTCTCTGCACAGCAGAGAATTACTCAGCAGCACGTTTCCCTAGTAAAACACACACAACACATTATGTAAAACCGCACACAGTTAATTAACCCTTTGATCACCCCAGATGTTAACCCCTTCCTGCCCAGTGTCATTAGTACAGTGTCAGTGCTTTTTATTAGCACTGATCACTGTATTAAGTGTCACTGGGGATGTCAGTAGCAGTTAGTCAGTTCCCACCCCAGTGTCAGAATGCCCGCTGCAGTCCTGCTATAAGTCACTAATCGCCGCCATTACTAGTATAAAAAGCAAAGACATGGAGCAGAATACATTTTGGCGTACATTTATGACAAAATTTGATTATTTATTTACTAGATATATTTTATAGCAAAAAAGTAAAAAATGTTTTTTTTTTTTCAAAATTGTCAGTCTTTTTTTGTTTATAGCACAAAAAAATAAAAACTGCAGAGGTGATTAAAGAACACCAAAAAAAGCTCTATTTGTGGGAAAGAAAAAGGCATAAATTTCATGTACAGCATTACATGACCGCGCAATTGTTAGTAACGCAGAGTCGTATCGCAAAAAATGGCCTAGTCAGGAAGGAGGGTAAATCCTGTGGACGGCAAGTGGTTAAAATATCACAGTAAACTGCCCCAGTACTCTGAAGAACCCTCAACCCCGATGTAAGCAGTGGGCTACACTTCTCTTGGGAAAACTGACAAAAATATCAAAATGCCTTGATGGATAGATGTCAGTCTTGGGTAATGCCCAAACGTAAAGCTGAGCCTTCATGAATGAAGATCCAAAGTCCAAAGAACTAAGGGAAGGCTAGGGACAGTAAAGCTAAAAAGGAAAGGGCTAGATAATGCTGGTCATCCTCCAGCCATTAAGTAGGCTCTACCTGGCCTCCTGACGCATTTAATGCACACTCTAAGAAGCTCACAGTGTGCAGTGAAATCAGAGTAAGCACGTTCAGTACAGGACAGGAGCCTACACAATTGTGCTAGACTTAAAAGTCTGTAATTAAAGTCTAAAATTAAAGTTTTTTTTAATAATTCTGTCACGGAGTGCCCGTGCCTTCCCCACCCCCCTTTGCCTGTCCCTTCACCCCTCCCTCCCCCCTTGCGGATTCTTTGCGTCCTGCCAGCCTACATCAAAGGGCTGTGCAGGATGGGAGGAAATGCCCCTGTGGTGCAGGTAGCACCTTACCTGCAAAGGGTGGCAAAGGGTTGTCTGCCGCAGCTGTTCCGTTGGGGGGACCGGGTGGGAACTGGGCCTCCGCAGCCATCTCTGCTGAGTACTCTTCAGGAGACTCCCCCAAAGGTCAGAAAAATCCCAGGCACAGACCCCGCACAGCCAAGACCCTGCAAGCCTGCTGTGTCCCTACCGGCTGATTGCTGGGTCCCTGGGAAGCCGCCCGTCTGCTGATTGCTGGGCCCCTGGGAAGCCGCCCTGTCTGCTGATCGCTGAGCCCCTGGGAAGCCGCCCTGTCTGCTGATCGCTGAGCCCCTGGGAAGCCGCCCTGTCTGCTGATCGCTGGGCCCCTGGGAAGCCGCCCTGTCTGCTGATTGCTGGGCCCCTGGGAAGCCGCCCTGTCTGCTGATTGCTGGGCCCCTGGGAAGCCGCCCTGTCTGCTGATCGCTGGGCCCCTGGGAAGCCGCCCTGTCTGCTGATCGCTGGGCCCCTGGGAAGCCGCCCTGTCTGCTGATTGCTGGGCCCCTGGGAAGCCGCCCTGTCTGCTGATTGCTGGGCCCCTGGGAAGCCGCCCTGTCTGCTGATTGCTGGGCCCCTGGGAAGCCGCCCTGTCTGCTGATCGCTGGGCCCCTGGGAAGCCGCCCAGTGTGCTGATCGCTGGGCCCCCTGGGAAGCCGCCCAGTGTGCTGATCGCTGGGCCCCCTGGGAAGCCGCCCAGTGTGCTGATCGCTGGGCCCCCTGGGAAGCCACCCAGTGTGCTGATCGCTGGGCCCCCTGGGAAGCCGCCCAGTGTGCTGATCGCTGGGCCCCCTGGGAAGCCGCCCAGTGTGCTGATCGCTGGGCCCCCTGGGAAGCCGTCCAGTGTGCTGATCGCTGGGCCCCCTGGGAAGCCGCCCAGTGTGCTGATCGCTGGGCCCCCTGGGAAGCCGCCCAGTGTGCTGATCGCTGGGCCCCCTGGGAAGCCGCCCGGTGTGCTGATCGCTGGGGCCCTGGGAAGCCGCCCTGTCTGCTGACCGCTTTGTCCCTGGAAGCTGCCTGCTGCTGAGTGTCCGCAAGTCGCCTACCTCCCTGGAAGCCGCCTGCTGCTGAGCATCTGCAGGACGCCTATCGTGAGTGTCCCTAAAAGCCATGAACTGTCCTTACTGTGCGCACAGACCACCCTTGTCATGAACTGTCCCTAGTGTGTGCACAGACCACCCTTGTCATTAACTGTCCCTAGTGTGCGCACAGACCACCCTTGTCATTAACTGTCCCTAGTGTGCGCACAGACCACCCTTGTCATGAACTGTCCCTAGTGTGCGCACAGACCACCCTTGTCATGAACTGTCCCTAGTGTTCGCACAGACCACCCTTGTCATGAACTGTCCCTAGTGTGCGCACAGACCACCCTTGTCATGAACTGTTCCTAATGTGTGTTCAGACCACCCGTGTCATGAACTGTCCCTAGTGTGCGTTCAGACCACCCTTGTCATGAACTGTCCCTAATGTGTGTTCAGACCACCCGTGTCATGAACTGTCCCTAGTGTGCGTTCAGACCACCCTTGTCATGAACTGTCCCTAGTGTGCGCTCAGACCACCCTTGTCATGAACTGCCCCTATTGTGTGCTCAGACTACCCTTGTTCGAACCACCCCATGGCGTGCACGGGGTATAGCTACCTGGACTGCGCCTTTGAGCGTGTGAGCCATCGCTACCTGCTGAGTCCCCGTGAGCTTGATGTCCCTAGAAAAATGGGTGAGAGCTTTGCTGAGGTCAGCCCCCCTAGTCAAGGTCCTGCTTAGTCCCCGTGAGCCTGATGTCCCTAGAAAGCTGGGTGGGAGCTGTGCTGAGGTCAGCCCCCCTAGTCAAGGTCCTGCTGAGTCCCCGTGAGCCTGATGTCCCTAAGAAAGCTGGGTGGGAGCTGTTCTGAGGTCAGCCCCCCTAATCAAGGTCCTGCTGAGGCCCCGTGAGCCTGATGTTGTCCCTAGTAAGCTGTGTGGGAGCTGTGTTGAGACCAGACCCCACAGCCAAGGTGCCACTGAGTGCCCGTGAGCCTGATGTTGTCCCCAGTAAGCTGTGTGGGAGCTGTGCTGAGGCCAGACTCCACAGCCAAAGTCCCGTTGAGTCCCCGTGAGCCTGATGTTGTCCCTAGAAAGCTGTGTGTGGGGGTTGTGCTGAGGTCAGACCCCATCGCCAAGGTCATGTTGAGTCCCTGTGAGCCTGCTTACCGTGGGTGTCCCTACAGGCCGCATGTTGCGGAGTGCCATGAACTGTCCTGATTGAGTGTCTTTAATAGTTCAATAAAGCTTTGTGTGTTCTGTCCTGCCTACGCTTCCGTTACAAGTTTGTTTTGACCAAGTCGGCCCACAACAAAACTATTTCCATTACTGAAAAAAAAAGTGTCTGTCCCTGGTTTACTCGTAACATCCTTTTTTTTTGGAGTACAACACAGGAAACAGAGATCCCGCTCTGCCATATCAGATTTGTGCAGACCACCCTTTTAAATCGAAAATGGTTGTGATTTAAGCCCCATTGCTGCAGGTTAAATATCTTAAAATAGGTGAAGTTTTTCTGCTTTCTTCTTTAAGAACAGCAAAAACATTTGTATTAAGTAGCTTTACCTTTCCTCCTCTGAGAATGTGGTACCATACAGAGGTGCCACCAAAGTCCACATGGAAATCAGTGTAACAGCCCCGCACACTCATAAGGCAGTATCTATAAAGAGAGATAAAAGGAGACACTGTTGTATGATATCATGCAAATGCATAAAGTACCAGAATTGCATACCTAGATGGTTAAAGCATAACCCCGGCCTCAGAGCTTCCTCGACAAGTAAAACTCCCTGCACTCATTTCCCCCAGTGTGTGTGTTATACTGTTATTTGATTGTACCTGCCTTTCTCAGATATTTTGGCTGGTTATGTGATACATTGGGTTCTCTTCTTCTTGAGACTTTTTCCATCAGTGAGCGATCCTTGGAGATGCAGAGAGCAACACTGGCATACCCACCACTCTCTGAATGCATATACGGTGAATGAAGGGCACCCTGATGATGCCCCACTGGACGCCAGGCCCATGGCAACCTGCATTCACACTTTTGTCATCAGTCGTCTGAGTTGAGTGATGCTGGGCTTCACTCAATCTAAGTCTGATGACATATTTTGGGTGGAAAAAAAGTACTGTGGGGACAGCAATGGATTAAAGGGAGTACTGCATCCCAAGCTGATATATATATATATATTTTTTTTTAAATACTGCTGGGGACTAACATTTATATTAAAAAACATCTGCCTCCCTCCCTTCTCTTTCCAATGTCCTCTCTCTGTTCTGCCCTATTATTATCTTGGTTGGGTTAAGAGACATGCGACTACAGGGTATAAGACTTGCCCACTTTACTTCTAAGAGGTACCTTGGTATGTTTTGCGGCTCGGTCTCTGTGTACCCCAGAAACCTAATGACTTGAGTGATCTATAGGCTCCCCTATAGGCTCCCGGGTGCATATTTAGGGGCTTGAGAAATGGATCTTCTAGCTCTAGCCAGTTTACTTCTTGCATTATGGGGTACTCACTGTTTTTGTGATCTGTAACACCCCCCAAATCTGTTCACACATCTGATGTATATTGTACCAAGTATTGTTACATGTTCTTTAATGTCTCGCATTGTTACATCTCTGACTCTTCAATACAAATAAACAATTTGAACAAGAATAAAATATGGCCCACAGCTGAGCTATGGCATAGACCGGGCATGCTCAACCCGTGGCCTGCAACCTCAAACTTATGGCAACCCGCACAGCCTCCTTTGGGTGCATGCCGCTCTACTTGAATGATTGCAGGTCCTCCATATCCCGGCAGCTGTCATCCACAAGCTGCTATTGTGACTGGCTCCCCGCTCTTCTCGTTCTTTTCTAACACACAGACAAGGGAGAGGAGCCTTTAGCCAAGTGGATTACATCTATTGGCATCCATACAGGAGTTCTGAAGAGGGAGTGATGAGCTTGGTGTCATTCTGGGAGCATGTGAGTGCATTATGTGTCATTTTGTCTTAGCTTAAAGCAGAGCTCCACCCAAAAAGGGAAGTTCCGCTTTAAGGACTGGTCCCCAGTTAGGGACTGGAGCAGGGGCGGTGGCGTGGGTACCCTAAATTGACAGGTATCCGCTCCTACTTCTGCCGAGATCGCCTAGGTGATCAGAAACAGAAGTTTTCCTCACCCATCCCTCCTCGTAGTCTTCTGGGACACGTGACAAGACTACGGAACCATTCAGGAAGTGTAGCGCTACTCATGCATGCTCAGTGGGCACCTGGCTGAAGCAGCAAGCTGTCACAGCCAGGTGCCAACACTGAAGATGCCAACACCTGGAACACAGGGCAGCCAATGAAACGGGCTGCAGGGGGGTCTGGTCATCAGCTACAGTTTGTGTACCTGCTGACTTTTATGTTTTTACATTTGCACTGGAACTCCGCTTTAATAAAGAAGGTTATCTGGTTAATAAAAAAAATGTGATTTTTGTGATTAGGCATCCAACGGGGATTGGGTCCATGCAAAACGATGATCCTGATTGTTTAAAATCTTCATTACGCTATTCAAAATAAAAGATTTGAAATTCTGAACAATTTAATTTCATTGTGGCCTGTGACCAGTTACCAAATCACCTAAGTGGCCTGGGCTCTTCAAAATGTTGAGCATCCCTGGTTTAGACTCAAGGTACTAAATGCTCAGGTTTATTGCAGTAAAGTACAGTTACCACTTTATAGCAGGCAAAATGGTGAAATGATAAAGAGATTACGGATCATAAATTACGTCTGTTGATTTAATAAAAAAAAAAAAAACCTGTTGGGCCTTGTATCAATGGGCTTTAAACTTGTTTGAGAATTGCTTTACTCCCTATACAAACCTACGGGATGTCAAAAGCAGCTGAAGCAGGTCAACTGCACCTGCAATGAATGCTGAATGATCTCAGAAGAATCTCAAACTGAATTCCAACACACACATTTGCTCATTGAAGTTATGTCATACTGGCCGAGAAAACATTTTTGGAGTATAACACTCATTATGAGCATTGATATATCAGTACTAGAAATAAACATTTGTACATTTATGTGTTACATGAACTGAGTTCTATGAAGCTGGAAAGATGAGACATCAAGATACAGACTATCAGTTTTGTACAAACAGTACTAAAGCCAAAGGGGCTGGGTGGGTGTCTGGTGTTAGTTTTCTGTAGAGGTGAACTAATCCTTTAACCACTTCCCGTCCGGCCCATGTAGATAAACGGCTGGACAGGAGCGCTGCCGAAGCGGGTGGACGCTTCTAAACGTCCCCCCATATCCATTGCTTGTGCGTGCTGTACGGGACCTCTGTGTGAGGTCCTGATTATGTGATCCCTGATTGGCTAATCAGTGATCACATGAATAGTAGTAATCAAGATGTCACTTGCTGATATCATTGCTTACTACTAGTGAAATCTGTGAATGATCACAGAGGTCACATGGTACAAGGCTATTCACAACAGCCTTGTACCATGTGACAAGCTGTACCCCAATCACAGCTCGCACAGTATTTCTTAATGGCTGCAGGAATGGAGAAAGGAGAAAATATTTATTTTACAGCCTTTATGGGTGTAAAAACAATCAGTGTAAAAAAAGCAAAAAAAAAAAAAAACAAACAAATCTTCATCACCCTGAAGTAGTGGTGCCATTATGGTAACACTGTACTGCAAGGGTGATAGTATGTTAAAAAAATGTTTAAAAAAAACCATAAATAATAAAAATGATAATTTTTGGTTATAAACTAATTTGAGTTATTATTTTTTTTTTACCAAAAAGATAGATGAATACATTTTGGACAAGATTTATGAGGAAAGATTATTTATTTGCAAAATTTTATAAGAAAAACGCTTTTTTTTTTTCAAAATGTTTGGACTTTTTCATTTATATAGCAAAAAAAATAAAAATCCCAGTGATGAATAAATGCCACCAAAATAAAGTTTTATCGGTCTCAAAAAAATTCATATGGGTACAGTGTTGCATGACCACGCAATTGTAATTCAAACTGTGATAGCACTGAAAGCTGAAAATTGGCCTGGACAGGAAGGGGGTGAAAGTGTCCAGACTTGAATTGGTTAATTATGAAAACACTAATTTTCAAGGTCATGACAATCACCATGGACCAGGAAGTGAGGAGCAATCTCTCTAGCAGTAAGACAAATAGTGGTAAAATGCTTTTCAAAGCGGAGTTCCACCCAGAAGAGGAAACTCTGCGTGTCTGTCTCCCCCCCCCCCCCCCCCCCCACTGACACATTTGGCACTTTTTTTGGGGGGGCGGGTACCTGGTTTTGACAAGTACCCGCTCCCACTTTCAGCTCAGTTCGCCGTGGCAAACTGTGCTGGAAGTTCGGCCCCTCCCCTTCCTCCCCACAGTCTTCTGGGACACTTCACTTGAAGCCACAAGCTGTCACAGCTGGGTGCCCACAGTTGAGATGCCGGCGCCAAGGGGAGAAGAGAGAGACAAGGGACGGCGCGGGTGAGCACATCACTGGATTCTGGGACAGGTGAGTGTGTGCTTGCTGACTTTTAATAAACACAAAAACGACTGGAACTCCGCTTTAAGTATAGTAAGGGAATGCATGATCCTCTGTCAGCTCTTTATGGTTGTTTGCCTGTTGCAGATTTTTTTCTCACTTCTTGCACAGAACATAAAGTGAGAATTTGCTTAACCTCCCCAGTGGTATTCCCGAGTGTAGCTCGGGGTAAAATGTCAGTACCAAAAGCGGTAACCCCGAGGGACGTACGGGCGCCAGCGGCAAATTTGAAAATTTTTAAAAATTTCTTTTTTTTCCAAACAAATTTTACATAGTAAAACGTTGCTGTTTCAACCCATTTCACATACATTTTCTCCCTAGTGCTTTGTCCTGTGACCTGCCTACATTTTGTCTGTTCTTTCTGCCTGCAAACTGAGAAAAGTCCATGGCGAACAAAAAGTGTCCCTTTAGGTCAAAAGCGGGTTTAGATCAGCTAGAGAACAGCAATAGTAAATCAGAACCACTTGCAGAATTGAGTGATAATGATTCGTGTGGAAATTCGTCATCAGACACTGAAAACGAGTTTGCGAATTTGCTCAGCAATGTGCTAACTTGGCGCTCTATTTCAAATTTCAGTGTTTTTGGTTTGATTATATTATTGAATGAAATGTATTATTATTATTATATTATTATTTTTTATGATTATTTATTAAATTATAATTTATGATTTCGTGTTTCAAATTTTATCATACCCGGGATGTTTAATAGACTCTTGTTCGGACAGATTTCAGTGCGTTATTCCTAAAAATTACAGCCTACAATACAAAAACCTACATATTTCCATGCAAAATAATGGTACCGCTTTCAGCACCAAAAATCTAAAATAATCATCTGAAATAATCATCATAGGGAGGTTAATGGAGCCCCAAACCAGCAATACAACTTGACAAGGATTACACACTTTCCACATTCAATTATTTAAGAAAAAAAAAACAGCTTTGGGTATTAATACACTTTTGATCTTTCAAATAGGCCTGTACAATTATAAGAATGTATATTTATCCCATTATTTTGTTTTCTTACTTAGGAGTCAGTGATAACTCAGTGCCCCAGTCAACTGCCTAACCTCACCTTATATCCCAGGTTTGATATTTAACTCTGCTATCCATTCTCCGATGCATGGATGACGTTAGTGAGGTCAGTCTATGGACAGTGCAGTAAAACTGCAGACTTTAGATGACCACTCATTTCTGACTAAAACAGAACAGCCAAGACTAAGATTGACACCAATAAAGGAGCACTATAATTCCCACTAATACCAACGATGCGGCACTATTACCAATGATGGGGCACCGACACCAATGATGGGGCACCGATCCTTTCACCGACACCAATGATGGGGCACCGATCCTCCCACCGACACCAATGATGGGGCACCGATCCTCCCACCGACACCAATGATGGGGCACCGATCCTCCCACCGACACCAATGATGGGGCACCGATCCTCCCACCGACACCAATGATGGGGCACCGATCCTCCCACCGACACCAATGATGGGGCACCGATCCTCCCACCGACACCAATGATGGGGCACCGATCCTCCCACCGACACCAATGATGGGGCACCGATCCTCCCATCGACACCAATGATGGGGCACCGATCCTCCCACCGACACCAATGATGGGGCACCGATCCTCCCACCGACACCAATGATGGGGCACCGATCCTTCCACCGATACCAATGATGAGGCACCGATCCTCCCACCGATACCAATGATGAGGCACCGATCCTCCCACCGATACCAATGATGGGGCACCGATCCTCCCACCGATACCAATGATGGGGCACCGATCCTCCCACCGATACCAATGATGGGGCAAAAATCCTCCCACCGATACCAATGATGGGACAAAAAATCCTCCCACCGATACCAATAATGGGGCACTAATCCTCCCACTGACACCATCGATGGGGCACTATTCCTTCCACTAATAACAATGATGGGGCACCGATACCAATGATGGGGCACCAATCCTCCCACCAATATCAATGATAAGGGAACCAATCCTCCCACCGATACCAATGATGGGGCACCAATCCTCCCACCGACACCAATGATGGGGCACCGATCCTCCCACCGATACCAATGATGGGGCGCCGATCCTCCAACCGATACCAATGATGGGGCGCCGATCCTCCAACCGATACCAATGATGGGGCACCGATCCTCCCACCGATACCAATGAGGGGGCACCGATCCTCCCACCGATACCAATGAGGGGGCACCGATCCTCCCACCGATACCAATGAGGGGGCACCGATCCTCCCACCGATACCAATGATGAGGCACCGATCCTCCCACCGATACCAATGATGAGGCACCGATCCTCCCACCGATACCAATGATGGGGCACCGATCCTCCCACCGATACCAATGATGGGGCACGATCCTCCCACCGATACCAATGATGGGGCACCGATCCTCCCACCGATACCAATGATGGGGCACCGATCCTCCCACCGATACCAATGATGGGGCACCGATCCTCCCACCGATACCAATGAGGGGGCACCGATCCTCCAACCGATACCAATGATGGGGCACCGATCCTCCCACCGATACCAATGAGGGGGCACCGATCCTCCCACCGATACCAATGAGGGGGCACCGATCCTCCCACCGATACCAATGAGGGGGCACCGATCCTCCCACCGATACCAATGAGGGGGCACCGATCCTCCCACCGATACCAATGATGAGGCACCGATCCTCCCACCGATACCAATGATGAGGCACCGATCCTCCCACCGATACCAATGATGGGGCACCGATCCTCCCACCGATACCAATGATGGGGCACCGATCCTCCCACCGATACCAATGATGGGGCACCGATCCTCCCACCGATACCAATGATGGGGCACCGATCCTCCCACCGATACCAATGATGGGGCACCGATCCTCCCACCGATACCAATGATGGGGCACCGATCCTCCCACCGATACCAATGATGGGGCACCGATCCTCCCACCGATACCAATGATGGGGCACCGATCCTCCCACCGATACCAATGATGGGGCACCGATCCTCCCACCGATACCAATGATGGGGCACCGATCCTCCCACCGATACCAATGATGGGGCACCGATCCTCCCACCGATACCAATAATGGGGCACTAATCCTCCCACTGACACCATCGATGGGGCACTATTCCTTCCACTAATACCAATGATGGGGCACCGATACCAATGATGGGGCACCAATCCTCCCACCAATATCAATGATGGGGCACCGATACCAATGATGGGGCACCGATACCAAATGATGGGGCACCAATCCTCCCACCGATACCAATGATGGGGGGCACCAATCCTCCCACCGATACCAATGATGGGGCACCAATCCTCCCACCGATACCAATGATGGGGCACCAATCCTCCCACCGATACCAATGATGGGGCACCAATCCTCCCACCGATACCAACGATGGGGCACCAATCCTCCCACCGATACCAACGATGGGGCACCAATCCTCCCACCGATACCAATGATGGGCACTAGTCCTCCCACTGATACCAATGATGGGGCACTAATCCTCCCACCGATACCATTGATGGGGCACTAATCCTCCCACCAATATTGATTGATGGGGCACTAGTCCTCCCACTAATACCAATGATGGGGCACTAATCCTCCCACTAATACCAATGATGGGGCACTAATCCTCCCACTAATACCAATGATGGGGCACTATTCCTCCCACTGATGTCGATGATGGGGCACTATTCCTCCTGCTGATGCCAATGATGGGGCACTATTCCTCCCGCTGATGCCAATGATGGGGCAATATTTCTTCCACTAATGCCTCATACTATTCCTCTCATGAATACCAATGATGGGGCACTAATTCCCAACTAATACCAATGATGGGGCCCTTTTCCTCTCACTAATACCTCACACTATTCCTCTTAATAATACCAATGATGGGGCACTATTCCTCTCTCTAATACCAATGATGGGGCACTATTCCCCTCAATAAAACCAATCATGAGGCACTAATGCTTCCACTGATAGCAATGATCGGGAACTATTCCTCCCACTGATACCAACAACGGTGATTCTTCCCACTAATACGAATGCCTCCTACTGCCAACAGATGTTATGTAGTTATTTTACCCCTGCTGACCACCAAGTCTGAGGCATTTTCTACTAATGCTGGCTATAATCCGGCCCTCCTAAAGTCTGGAGGTCATTAAACCAGCTTTTTGCTTAAAAAGTTTGTAGACCCGTGCTCTAAGATATAGCTCTAAAAGGAACCAATCTGTTAGTTTCCACTGACACAATTCATGGGTGGGTATATAACAGCAAGTGCGACAAAATGTAAACATGCCTTAAAATGCACTATAATGAACTATGATATGCAGCTATCACTCACTTCTGCACCTTGGGGTATTGCATTTCCTGGATGACGTTGGTGGATTCAGTCTGTCTATCCTTTAAATGCCTTGGCCAAATGTTGTCCACCCAGTCTATCTGATCCACCTGTGAGAGACAGCAAAACAATCTTGAAAAATTACAAGACCGTGGTAATGCAGGTTAGAAATATTTTGTGTCAACAAGGTTCACAGTATTTCACAGTGTGAGACGCAACAGTTCTTGGCAATGTAATTCATAACAACTGGAGACAATTTTTAAAACTTGAAAGAAGAAAAACTCAACAATATAGAAAATAGGTGAAAAATGCAACACATTTTCTTTTGCTTTAGTAGCAGTTTTATTATAAATATAAACAGAAAATATTGTTTGTCCTGCAAAAGTGCTTAAAGTGAAGAATGAACTTCTCTTACCTGCTCCATTACCACAGAATGTTTTGTTATATCTGATCATAAAAAGATCTGTCGATTCTGCCAAAAGCCTGGTGAGTTGGTAACTTTGTGCTTTCAACTCCTACTACTGCAATTTGAGATGTTGCAAGGCTCTCAGTTCTTTCTGTGGACTACATATGTCCTACCTGCTATATTATGGAGATAAGGAAATGAGGTATTTTGTATTTCTACCACACTTTCTATCCTAGGGTTTGATTTGTCACACAGGAAGTGTGTTACTGACAGGATGTCCAGGTTACAATAGAAGGCTTTAAGGTGGTTGTAAGCCCTCACACATGCCCTGAGAAGTGACTGGCCTCAGGTGATACACAGAGATGAAACAAATCTTCCTACACAAGTTGTACCTGTTTATCTGCGGTCTTCTCATCTCTACATCAGTTCAAGGTCTAAAATTTATAATAATTCTGAGCGTTTAGAAAACGGGATAGATAGCTGAAATGACACACTGCAGAGCTCAGTGAGGAGAGCTCTGAGAGCTGATTGGAGGGTAAGGAACACGCCCTTTCGCATAGCACACAAGAACAGAGCTGAGGCAGTCAATCACAGCTTGTATGCTGGAGTGGTCCATGGTCTGAAAAGGTGAACGAGTCCCACATGTGAAAAGGACACTTGGAATTTGCCGACGCATTTCGAGGAGCGATCTCCTCTTCATTACAGCCTATATCACTCAAATTGTCTGTTTGCACATATGTTGAATTTTCACTTATTGATTTGTTCATAATTGGTATTTCCTAGCAGGGCATCTAGTCTGTTTGGATATCTGAATAATTTTTGGGGGTTTGTCCTGCTATCATTTGCTATCTGACATTCGTTCTCGATTTTCTGCGGCTCTGATTTACTTTTTGCATATTCTGTTATATTCTTTGTACTGTGTAAATGATGATAGCGTTCCTTAATTTTTATATTTAATAAAAGCTCTTTTCTTATTATCTATAGCTTTTTTAACTTTTTCTGTAAGCCGCATAGGTTTGATTTTTAGCCTTTTAAACTTGTTGCTCATGGAAATATATTTTGCAGTGTGTTCACATACAGTCTTTTTGAAGAACTCCCATTTCTGTGTTGTGTTCATTGATGCCAATATTCCCTCCCAGTCTAAGTCTTGGAGAGCAGCTCTCAGTCTTGGAAAATTAGCTCTCTTAAAGTTGAGCATTTTTATTTTTCCCGTGTGTGCTTGTTGTTTACAGCTAACAATAAATGAAATCATGTTATGATCACTGCTACCCAGATGTTCTTTTATATGGACATTCGTAATAAGATCTGCATAGTTTGAGATTACCAGGTCCAGCAGAGCATCATTCCTAGTTGGGGCCTCTATGAACTGTACCATAAAATTGTAGTAGGTTTATACATTTTTGCCCTTTAATTGCTCCTGAAGTGCCATTACTCCAGTCAATTTCCAGGTAGTTCAAATCCCCCCTTATTATCACTGTCCCAGCTCTTGTAGCCCTTTCAATCTGTGCAAGGAGTGGAGTCTCCACCTCCTCAATAACACTGGGTGGACTATAACAAACTCCAATGATTACCTTTGTAGTACGTTCCCCCCCATGTGCAGTTCCACCCACAATGCTTCAGCCTCATCACACTCTCCATCAACTAGGTCCCCTTTGACACTCGCTCTGAGATCACTTCTCACATTGAGACAGACACCACCACCTTTTCTTTTTACCCATTCTCTCCGAAAGAGAACATAGCCAGGAATATTAATGGCCCAGTCATGTGAAGAATGAAGCCAAGATTCAGCAAAGCAATTAAGTCATAGTTCTCTTCATGCACCAAAGCTTCCAAATCATCTATTTTGCTTGGCAGACTTCTAGCATTGATGAACAAACACTTTAACACATTGATACCTTGTGCACACGTATTTTGCCTATTTTTTAATTTTGTACAAACGGTACCAATTCCAATGGTTGTTTGTAACATGGGCACCTTATCACCTGCCATAGCCCTACTCCCACCTTTCCCCATTCCATCCACCAATAAGGACTGACCCCTATCTGATCTGTCTGTCCATTATAATCTAATTCTCTCTCCCCCCTCGATCCTAGTTTAAATACTCCTCCAGCCGTCCATAAACCTCTCCCCCAGCACAGTAGACCCCCTTCCATTTAGGTGCAAACCATCTCTAGCATAGAGGTTGCACCCCACTGAAATGCCAGCCAAGTGCTCTAGAAACCCAAATCCTTCCCTTTTACACCAGGTTTTAAGCCATACATTGATTTCTCTAATCTCCCCATCTTTCCTGAGCTGCACATGGCACAGGTAATATTTCAAAGAATATCACCTTGGAGGTCCTTTTTTTCTTCAACTTGCAGCCTAGTTCTTTAAATTGATTCTTAAGGAGCCTCCACTTTCCATGTATTCTGTCATTGGTTCCAACATGAACCAAGACAGCTGGGTCATGCCCAGCCCCTCACAGTAATTTATCAACCCTGTCCACATGCCGAACCCTGGCACCAGGGAGACAGCAAACCATTAGGTTGAGGCGATCCTGGCGACAAATGATTCTATCAGTCCTTCTGATTATTGAATTCCCTACTACCACCAGCTGTCTAGGCCTTCCTGTACTACCCTCACCACCCCTCCCAGATGGTCTGCCTTCCCAGCTGTTAGGGATAGCAGTGGCATCCAGGGCTGGGAAAATAGGACTGCCCGTAGAAGGCCATCATCAGGACAAGACTCACACAAAAAGGGAGGGGAGGGTCACTCCTGAATTGGAGAGCCTGAATCTGAGGCCAGAGTGCCAGATATTCCTCCTGTGGAAGAAACATGCTGGCCCAAGCTGTGTCCAGACCAAGACCCAAATACTCTAGAATGATGTGTTGTTTCCCAGGACAATTTCTAATGGCTCAGCATACACCCAAATCACCTTGGATAGTCAAAGCCACACTGTCTGACACAGTCCACACTGTGGGAGTGTTCCCTTACAAGAAGGTAGTTCATGTATCCTACAACTGGAATGCCACAGAGTTCAGCAGGGCTAATACTGGGGCTAACACTTTGGTGAACACCCCAAGTGTAAACAATTGGACAAAGGGCAGGCCCATGAGCTGGTAGTGTAAGTGCACCACGACAGAATATAGGAACTGTTGATATGCTGGGAAGACAGAAATATGTAGGTATGTTTCTTTGATTTCCACAAAAGCCAGAAAGACTGCATGGTGAAGGGAGGTGACGAAAAATTTGGTGATTTTCATGCAGATGGAGTGAATGCCACTTTTAAGTTGAACAAGGTGGAGTAAAACTCCCCCAAACTGTTCTGCCACAAGAACTGGAGAAATGACACCTTGATCTAAAAGTCTCCAGAGGACTCAAAAGAGACCTGCTAATCTGTTTGATGCAGTGATGCATCCCACCATTATGCACATTACTCCTCAGACTGAAACCTAAACATCCAGACAAAACACTTATGATAGCAGTGAGTAAAGCAGTGTAAAGCTGGGCAAACATGAAACCTATCTACCAATACATTTCTGTTCAATCTCCCTGTTGGAAAATCTCTGCTCGATCACGTTAAGAGTGTGGATGGGAAAATCGGGACAGTTTTTTCCATTCAACCCACTGGTTGAATGAAAAAAAAAAATGACATCTATGGCCAGCTTTACTACACACAAACTTTTTAAATGAAGTTTGTAAACTGTAAATCCCAGGACCAACAAAACTGATGAAACTTGTCCAAAGTATGCAAAATATTTTCATTTAAAAATTAAATGCCTTATAACTGGGAGTCACCATTTACACCAAACTTGAGTCCAACTCCCTAATCCCTTCCTCAAGTCCTCCAGATATTTTTTTATCTTTCTTTATGGCTGGTCACATGGTCATCTTCCATGTTGTACTGTGAGGTCAGGACGCTGCACTCACAGTCTTTCCTCAGTCTTAAGATGTTCAGTGACACTGGGCATCATTTGTCAATGCAGACTGAGTACATCTTGTGACAAGGAAAATGGAATGAAGGGGAGTGTTTCAGCCAGACTATTTTTTTCAATTCCCCAAATGCCTGTGGGAAAGTTAAAAATTAGCCTAGAGATGTGCCTTAATTCAAATTGTGTTGCTAAAACATTTCAACCATCTAACAGGTCATGTATTTGATATGTCCGAATACCTTCCTGGGGGGTGTCATGGGTCAGTACCACAAACTGTCAGTATTGCCCAAAAGCCACAAAACACAAATTAGTGGTAGGTTGAAGAGAGGCCAAAGTGGTACAGAAAGCAACCAATGATGACATGCTCACCGTTGCAGGTCTTTGCACCAGATTCTCCAGCTTGGTGTGGCTAAACTCCAGGCTGATGACATTATATAATTTTTCTCTTTCTTCATCTGGGGTTTCATAATATTTTGCCCATTGTGCCATTGTCATCTCTATTCCTCTTTGGGTGCCAACGTCCATCACGTCTACAATACGTTTTCCCCCTAGAAGAGAAGTTTAAAGTGTTTGTAAACTCTAACAACACATTTCTCTTATTTGCTCCCTTTTGGTCAGTTAAATATACCATTAAAGAGTTTTATGACATCTGTCCATCCAGCCAGAAATCATGTGACCTGATAACTTCCTGTTCTCTCTGACTCTGAACTGTTGTCAATTAATAATGTTCTCTCCTATCTCTGTGGACTACAAACCACCTCCTCCTGCTAAGGAGAAGAGAGTGAGGTTGTATGTAGTTCTGACACATTCTTGTCCTTGGGTGACAACCCTGCTCACTTTGGTTATCACACTAGAACAACCATTAAAATAAAGGTTATAATAAAAGGGGGAAAGTGTGAAAAAAAAAAAGAATGCAGCCGCCACATCTAAGGACCAGTAAGCTACAATACAATCAATTTATGTTTAGATACAATTTAACACAATTAAAAAGGTCTTTTTTAAAGGGTTTCCACTATATAAGACAACATTACGTTCCCTGCCACCAGTAAAAAAAGAATTATTTAGGTTCTAAAACATACCCAAATGGGAGCATAATAAATTTCAGACTGCCAGAAAGAACGAGTGGCAACAATAACATTAGGGCCCATTCACACCAATGCATGGCATTCCGAAAGGCATTCCGATGCACAATGTGTTAGTTTCTTTAACAGTCAGCTGGTGATCTCGCCAGTAACACCCTTCCTATCCTTGGGTAACAACGCTTACTTGCCTCACTGTATCTATGGAGGGTACTGTCACCCTAGGCTGCACTCTTGATCTAAACCACAAAACACTTCCCCCCCTTATCTCCATAATTTAGAGTGTTCCTAAACTCAGGACCCTGCATTCACTATATCCGCTCTCCCCGGACCCTGCATTCACTATATCCGCTCTCCCCGGACCCTGCATTCACTATATCCGCTCTCCCCGGACCCTGCATTCACTATATCCGCTCTCCCCGGACCCTGCATTCACTATATCCGCTCTCCTTGGACCCTGCATTCACTATATCCGCTCTCCCCGGACCCTGCATTCACTATATCCAGTTTCCCCGGTCCCCGCAGTCACTATATCCGATCTCCCCGGACCCCGCAGTCACTATATCCGATCTCCCCGGACCCCGCAGTCACTATATCCGATCTCCCCGGACCCCGCAGTCACTATATCCGATCTCCCCGGACCCCGCATTCACCATATCAGCTCTCCCCGGACCCCGCATTCACCATATCAGCTCTCCCCGGACCCCGCATTCACCATATCCGCTCTCCCCGGACCCCGCATTCACCATATCCGCTCTCCCCGGACCCCGCATTCACCATATCCGCTCTCCCCGGACCCCGCATTCACCATATCCGCTCTCCCCGGACCCCGCATTCACCATATCCGCTCTCCCCGGACCCCGCATTCACCATATCCGCTCTCCCCGGACCCCGCATTCACCATATCCGCTCTCCCCGGACCCCGCATTCACCATATCCGCTCTCCCCGGACCCCGCATTCACCATATCCGCTCTCCCCGGACCCTGAATTCACTATATCCAGTCTCCCCAGACCCTGCATTCACTATCTCTGGTCTCCCACAGCACACACAACATGGAAATGCAATTATTTTCATAAATATAAACTGCTAAATACCTTTTTTCCTCAGTGGTATATAGCAGTCTTGTGACTTCTACCAGTGTCCAGCTGAGCACTGGTAAAGCTTGTAGGAGTTGTCATTTGGCTCTGACTGTCCTATAAGGCTGCATAACCCTCTGTCTGAACAGTGCTAACTGACCCTGTGCTGATCACACACACTTTCCCAAAAGAAAAAAAACTCTCTAGCAATACACACCAAACTGAGCATGTGCAAAGCGACACCTAAAGCTCTGTACTATCAGCAGATGGATTGGGGACAGTAGAAGAAGGGGAGGATCAGAGAAGACAGGATCAAACAGCCTTTTTACATAATGTTCCACAGTAAGTATGACAAGCATGCTTTACTGCATAAACAGACTGATTTTACTGTTGTGGCTTTAGTAACACTTTAAATGGGAGGTGCCCTATAGTTCACAAAAGATAACTGTGAAGGCTGATAATCTTGTTGGAGATTTTAGTTCAGCACAGAGAAAGTTACAAGAACACTGGAATTCTCTGAGGATTAAATAGTATTTTTCTGTACTTGAAGAAAATTTATGTAGCTTGAAAAATTAAAACTAATGCAGTCACAACATCCATGAACTGGAAAGCTGCATTATATTACATGTATTTTAGATATACTTTAATTTCAAGCTGGGTTCAGCGGAAAGTTTGCGGTTTCTGAATCTGTAACGCCAAATTACAGGAAAATACCCATACAGATGTAATTTCCCTCTAAACCCCCACTGCAGTGATTTCTTTTTTTTTGCTAAAAGGAGTATTAAAGTGTTACTAATTCCAGGACCCTGCATTCACTAGATCCGGTCTCCCCGGACCCTGCATATACTATATCCGGCCTCCCCGGACCCTGCATTCACTATATCTGGTCTCCTCGGACCCTGCATTCACTATATCTGGTCTCCCAGGGCCCTGCATTCACTAGATCCGGTCTCCCAGGGCCCTGCATTCACTAGATCCGGTCTCCCCGGACCCTGCATATACTATATCCGGCCTCCCCGGACCCTGCATTCACTATATCTGGTCTCCTCGGACCCTGCATTCACTATATCTGGTCTCCCAGGGCCCTGCATTCACTAGATCCGGTCTCCCAGGGCCCTGCATTCACTAGATCCGGCCTCCCCGGACCCTGCATTCACTATATCCGGTCTCCCCGGACCCTGCATTCACTATATCTGGTCTCCTCGGACCCTGCATTCACTATATCTGGTCTCCTCGGACCCTGCATTCACTATATCTTGTCTCCCCGGACCCTGCATTCACTATATCTGGTCTCCCCGGACTCTGCATTCACTATATCTGGTCTCCCCGGACCCTGCATTCACTATATCTGGTCTCCTTGGACCCTGCATTCACTATATCTGGTCTCCCCGGGCCCTGCATTCACTATATCTGGTCTCCCCGGACCCTACATTCACTATATCTGGTCTCCCACAGTAAACAGAACATGGAAATGCAATTATTTTAGCAAATATAAACTGCTAAATACCTTTTCTTAACAGCAGTTAGAGCAGTCTTGTGACTTCTATCAGTGTCCAGCTGAGCACTGGTTAAAGCTTGTAGGGGGAGTTTTTTTTCTGTTCTAGGAGGATGCAAAACCCCTGACCTATGTCTGGACAATGCTGATTGGCCCTGTGATGATCTCATGCACTCTCCCAAGAAAAAAAACAAAAAACAAAAAAACCTCTCGAGCAATACACACTAAACTGAGCATGTGCAGAAAGGCTACGGGTTCAGTCTGTCTTATCAGAAGATAAGGCATGGCCATTTGAACAAGAGGAGGAGCAGAGAAGACAGGATCAAACAGCCTTTTTACACAATGCAGAGGATTAACCCCTTCGGTTCCACAGTGAGTATAACAAGCATGCTTTACTGCATATACAGACTGATTTTTACCATTGTGGGTTTAGTAACACATTCATTATTATTTCATGTATTTATATTATGACAATTTATGCAGCACTTTACATATTGAACATTCAGATCAATCGCTGCCCTCAGTGCCGGTTCACATATATGCGGATTGGATGCGGTTTTAACCGCATCCAATCCGCATGACATGTGAAATAACATTGCTTCCTATGGTGCCTGTTCACATATGTCCAGTGCACTGGGAGTGCAAAATCAGTGCGGATTGAAAAAGAGTGCTGTCTGATTTCTGAGCAGTGCGGTCCAGTTTAGGTGAGGATTACAGGCTATTGACTTCTATGGGAACAGTATCTATTATTATTATATAGTATTTATATAGCGCCAAAAGGTTTGCTCAGCGCTGTACATTATAGTGGGGGACAGAACATGAGACAATACAGTAACAAAACAAAACACGAGGGGCTCAAGGGCCCTTCTCTTTTGAGCTTACAATCTAATCTAGCATCTAAACCGCACATGAGTGAACAAGATCAAATCTTGACCTGAACCTGATGTAAACCTGACCTGAATCGCTGAACAACTACTGTGTCAATTAGCTGTGAAACCTGAGCTCCAATCCACACATGTGAATCAGCTTACAATCTAAGGTCCCTACCTCACCAGCAAACACATACAATGACCAATTTAGACAGAAGCCAATTACCTTACATCAGTGTTTCTCAACTCCAGTCCTCATGGACCCCCAACAGGTCATGTTTTCAGGATTTCCATTATTTTGCACAGGTGATTTGATCAGTTTCACTGCCTTAGTAATTACCACAGCTGTTTCATCTGAGGGAAATCCTGAAAACATGACCTGTTGGGGGTCCATGAGGACTGGAGTTGAGAAACACTGCCTTACATGCATGTCTCTGGGGTGTTTGAGAAAACAGAAGAACCCAGAGAAAACCTACAAAAGCACAGGGTGAACATGCAAACTCCATGCAGGTATCATTTTGGTTGAGATTCGAACTGAGCACCCTAGTGCTGCAAGAAAGAAGTTCTAACCAGTAAGCTACTGTGCTGCCCCATATTAGGGTTGCCACCTCATCCCTTTAAAACCAAAACACATTAATTACACAGGATCTGCGGCTAATTTATTGCAGGAAAGGCACTAAGTGAGTTTAATTACCACCTTAATGAGTCACAGGACCTGTGTAATTAATGTATTCACATTTAAAGGGATGAGGTGGCAACCCTACCCCATATACATGCACAAGAGATAAAAACCATCTTCACTTACCTACAAACACCTTCACATCATTCACACTAAAGTCAGGATCTGGCATTCTAGAGAAAGAACAATAGCAAATATAAGATTAAAAGAAAAGCATACTAAAAATGTATCTGTCTTCTCTAAAAAGGAATGTCTTGGCTGTTCTGTTTCACAAATATATATGTCCGTGTTCAGCTTAGGATCAGCTTTATGTGGTTGTGCCATGCTGGACAAACCTTTTTAAACTTTTACATACAGTATCAGTGTTTGTCAGTAAATGGGATATACAGAAGCCCTCACGGGAGTAGAAAATTATTTGGGAACATTTCTTGTACATTGTGTAGTGTGGTGTGTCCCAATAAAAGTAGTCCTAATATTCAGTAATATGAAAAACATTTTGCAATGATTAAATATAACCAGTTAATTAATCCACATTTAGATTTGTAAAAAAACCCCCCCAAAAACTTGCTTTTAATTAATTTTTTGGCCTGTAAAGCGCAGGTCACATGATCACAGCTGGTGGGCGTATATAGAGTGGGGCATGTACATCATTGAAGGAAATTACATTCAGTGAATCGCAATCATATCCAGTAGCATTATCACTTCCTCCCTTCCTCAGCCAAGTGCAGTGACAGTGAATTAAGCCCCAGCTCACATATATGCGGCCGTGTGGTACGCGTTTTTGTGTGGGCACGAGAGCCCATTTATGTGAATGGACTCTTGTGCCCCGTGACACGCAGGGAAGAAGACCCTGCACTTCTTCCGAAACCATAGCCCGCACGGGAACCTCAGTTCCCAGTACGGTTGCGTCTTCCAGTGCGAGCAGCGTGCCATTAGAACGAATGGCACCCGACTGCAGGTCCACATTCCTCTATGTGGGTGGTGCGGCCGCACAGATTTTCGTGCGGATCCGCAGCGGCACCACCCGCACAGATGTGAACCTAGCCTTACAGAGCTTCCCAAAGAGGAAGGGAGGAGCGGGGCTGAGTGGGGAGCCCGCCATCAAAGTGGGAAGGATGGGGGGGGGGGGGGTGTCGCACATGGTTTTACACTGACCATGGAAGGTACAGGCATGCTGAGCGATTGCATAGCGTGCCTGTATCTAACTGTAGGTTGACTGAGGGCTGAACAAGCTAGCATAATAGAGCTTCAAATGCTTAGTGCGGTCAGTTTACCATAAGGAAGAGAGGAAATGGCAGGATCAATCAGGTAATAGAGAACAGCAGGCACATATGAGAAATTAATCCTGAAAAGGCAAGTATAAATACATCAACCTTTTCGCTGCCAGGTCCATACCTCGTATGGGGACGGGGGGGGGGGGGGGGGGTGATGTGTTGTTATTCATTTATTAAAAGGTACTTATATAGCGCCATCAATTTACGCAGCGCTTTACATATATATTATATATTCACATCAGTCCCTAACCCTCAAGGGGCGTACAATCTAAGGTCCCTAACTCACATTGATACATACACATACTAGGGCCTATTTAGATACGAGCCAATTCACCTACCAGCATGTCTTTGGAGTGTGGGAGGAAACCAGAGTACCCGGAGGAAACCCATGCAGGCACAGGGAGAACATGCAAACTCCAGGCAGATGGTGCCATGGTTGGGATATTTACATACAATCTAGTGGCTGCAGCCATGGGGATTGTGCGTAAAACTGCCTGTCAGGTGGAAGCATTTGGGCTGCACTGCATCTTTTAGACCGTACATTTCTCATTAAAGAGAACCTGTCATCACAAAATCATTACATAGGGGACTTTTTTTTTCAGTTGCAATAATAAAAAAAAAAGACACCAAATCCCCCCCCCCCCCACATATACACATGTATGAACATAAACACATGTGTTGGGGGCGCCTAAACAAAAAAATGTTGATTGTGATACACATTACATATTGTCATGCACGCCGGAATAGGAGCAATAATTCTAGCAGAAGACCTCCTCTAACGCCAAACTGATGACCTACAGCGGGCATTCAAGCGTCACCTGTAGGAAATATAGGCTACTGATGTTTGTCGCCAATTCATGGGCGCACACAAATTTAAGGTTTGACATTCTGGGCATCTATTTACTCATTGCAACCTCATCTTTTATATTTTACCAAAAAAGTTTGGTAATGTATTGTGTAAGCTTGCCCTAAACTTCACTTTTTTCTGTGTTTTTTACTGAAAGTTTGTATTTCCTAGACCTTTGTGGTAATATCGTATGACATAAAAAAATTGGCACTACCACTATTTTATTCCCTAGGGCAGTGATGGCGAACCTTTTTGAGCCCGAGTGCCCAAACTGCAACCCAAAACCAACTTATTTCTTTCAAAGTGCCAACACTGCAATGAAACCTGAATATCGAGCTTTTGGTTTAGAAAAAACAACTCGTACAGTAGTGCAAACTAATTAACAGTACAGGGATGACCAGAGACTGCGGACAGTACAGGGATGACCAGAGACTGCGGACACAGTACAGGGATGACCAGAGACTGGAGACACAGTACAGGGATGACCAGAGACTGCGGACACAGTACAGGGATGACCAGAGACTGCGGACAGTACAGGGATGACCAGAGACTGCGGACAGTACAGGAGATGACCAGAGACTGCGGACAGCACAGGGATGACCAGAGACTGCGGACAGCACAGGGATGACCAGAGACTGCAGACAGTACAGGGATGACCAGAGACTGCGGACAGCACAGGGATGACCAGAGACTGCGGAAAGCACAGGGATGACCAGAGACTGCAGACAGTACAGGGATGACCAGAGACTGCGGACAGCACAGGGATGACCAGAGACTGCGGACAGCACAGGGATGACCAGAGACTGCAGACAGTACAGGGATGACCAGAGACTGCAGACAGTACAGGGATGACCAGAGACTGCGGACAGTACAGATGACTGCTGACCTTTGGGGAGGGAGGGGGAGCGGGTACCTGAATTTGACAGGTACCCGCTCTTACTTCCGCAGAGTTTTTTTTTTTTTATCTTACCTGTTCCTTTATCCAGCCACGCGCTGTTTTCACGGCTTCTGTAGTGTGGGCGCTCGTCGGACAGCCGGATGCCCAGTGCGCATGCGCGAGAAGCGCTGCGCTTTGGGATTGGTCCGGCGGCTTCTGGGATCTGTCATGTGTCCCAGGTACCGCCTTACCATTCACAAAGAGCACTGCTTCTTGCGCATGCGCACTTGGGACCCGGCTGTCACGCACACTACAGAAGCCGGGAAGACAGCGCGCCGCTGGATAGAGGGACAGGTACGGTCCCACTGCAGAGCTGAGCGGCCGGCCCGGTATTCTGACACGGCGGCGGTGGAAATACCGGACCGGGCGCTCTATATTCGCTCCATAAGACGCACTGACATTTTCCCCCCTTTTTGGGGGAAAAAAAGTGCGTCTTATGGAGCGAAAAATACGGTATTCTCCTGGCGTGCCCACAGATAAGGCTCGGCGTGCCAGCTGTGGAACGCGTGCCACGGGTTCGCCATCACTGCCCTAGGGTGTCTGCTTTCAGAAAATATATAATGTTTTGGGGTTTTGTGGAATATTCAGGCCTAAAATGATTTATTAAATAGGTGTGCAAAAAACACAAAAATTGCACTGGTAGCAAAAAGCTTAAAGATACAGTGGAATGCTTTTTACATTTTTAAGGTTTAAAAACACTTTAGAGTGACTGAAAAAGGCTCAAGGTTTTCTATTTTTTTTGCATTCTGAAAAACCTTCTACAGCAGCCCCCCCAAATACTTGAGCCCTATCTCGATCTAGCAATGTGCACAAGAGCCTCGGCTGTCACGGGGTCTCTCCCTCCTCACTGACTGACACAGCAGCAGGAGCCACTGGCTCCCGCTACTGTCAATCACAGCCATTGAGCCAATGAGGAGAGCGTGAGGGTGGGACCGAGTCAAATCTGTGTGTGAATAAACACAGAGGGCAACAGATCGGGAGCAAGCCTGCTCAGATACCACCATAGCAAGCTTCTTGCTGTGAGAGCACTTGACAGGAGGGAGAGGCCAGGAGCACCTGCGAGGGACCTGAGAAGAGGAGGATCGAGTCTCATCTGTGCAAAACCACTGCACGCAGCAGGTAAGTACAACATGTTGGTTATTAAAAAAAAAAAAAAATCTGCCCTCACAATCACTTCAAGATCAGAACCTGTGAAATCTGACCTTAAAGCTATTTAATGCTGCTCATTGCATGCTCCCCTTCCATAGACTGCTTTGCCCTATTGAAGCCTGCCAACCTCTCTCCTTGTGACTGCTCCACAATTTATCAAGGTCTAACAAAATTAACAACAAAAGAACTTTGTGACTGTGGAGGTATGCTCCCTGTTCATTGCAGCCAAGACTGGAGTCTTGTCAGATCTCCTCCCCTGCCAGACAGCAATGGGTAGCAGAGCTGTGAAAAATCCCAGAACAGGATGAACAGAAACACAGATCCTTTGGCGGATAAAACAACTCCCATCTATGTATTTCATTTGTGTCTTTAACAGTCTGCCTGGAGTTCAGCTTTATAAGTTCTGTGTTTTCTCACTGCTTCAATTTCCCAATTTAACACATGAGTGAAGAGTTGAGCCCGAAAATACAAGAAATTTCTCAGCAAATTTCCATTCAACTTTTTTTATTTTGTTTTGTGAACTGATCCCTTACAAATATGATTTCAATGTTTAGGGAAGACAAAACCTTAACATCTTACTTACCTGATGCCAAGCCCTTCAGAACTTTTAAATATCAGCGGGTCCCTGAGTCCGCATTCCTGAACGTACCTCATATTGAAGTCTGAAAAAGAAAGAGACAATCAACAGCATGTTCACAACTCCCATAGTCCTCCTGGACTATTCCCCATCACTTAGTCCCCTGACCTTTTCCCTCCATGTAGATGATAAAGTCAGTGTTGTACTTTGGGCTATAAAGTTTCTCCTCCAAGTCAAATGTTCTTTTGCCCTCAATCTCCTCATCTGAGATGCCATCATCCTCATATCGACGACGGAGGGTGCTCCTCTGGAGGACAGAAACATTCAGACATGGTCAACGATTACACGACATAAAAGGAGGCCACCATAAACAGATTACCCACATACTTTGAGGAAGACATTCTCAGCTTTGACCTTTGCCACGGTGCAAACTGTAATTTACCTACAAATAAATGGATAAAGCCCACTCACTTCCAACCTACCGCAAAACCATGGGATGACAGAGATCTTTGTTTACATATGGTCATAATCTTGTATCTATGACATCTAAAGCAGGGTTCCGTGGAATCCTAAGGTTCCTCCAGAGGTTGCTTGGGGTTCCTTAAGCAATGAGCAATTTCTGTCTCTCAGATATGTTCCCACTAACATCATTGATCTTTTTAGCTATCTGTAAGGGGACAATTCGTCCCAAAGACCACATGTGTAAGGTGCTTTTTTCCTACTGACCATCACACTAACATGTCATATAGTCATTTTTAGCAGGGTTTCACTGAGACCAGAAGGATATTTCAAGGATTCCTCTGTGTTGAAAAAGTTGAGAAAGGCTGATCTACAGTGTTGGGAAGATGGGAGCGCCACACTAGTTTGCACAGTCCTTTAAAAGATTTTATTTTGCAAAAAACAAATTGCTGTTTCTTTTTTTTAGCCCTGATGAGGGAGTGCCGAGCCCTAGAAACATGCTCGTTGCTGCAAAAGAAAATCTTTCAAAGGACTGCACAAGCTAGTGTGGCACTTCCATCTTTTTAACACTTTAGTAAACTCTTCCGAGGGTCCAGATGGACACTACAGTTCTTAGTAAGCAACCTCTGGGACCACACACCACCCATTATGTTATAAGAGATCACCATAAGGATCAGAGATCCCACGAACACAAAAAGATTCTATGGCAACATCTGACACCAGCCAGCTGACTATTCTTAGGTAAAGAGACCAGGTTAGAAAAAACGTATTGGATCACTAGTATTCCTGCTGTTATAGGCGGCACCATTCCCATCGGTCTGCTTACTCATTCACATGGAATAAATGTGTGTCCAACTATGGAACAAGCTATGACATTTGACAACAAGCAGACTAAGCCTGCACATTAATCTGGTTCTTGTCAAATTAAAATGTCATGGCTTCCACAGCAGCATCCTATAGAATCTTATTTTGTGTAGCCTGGCGTAGTGAGTGGAGCTGCAATGTGAAAGTCTCCCGTTTGATGCAGAGTCAGCTCACCTGTACCTCATAGAATGACCATGAAGGGTTAAGCTTGTTCTGCCTGTTTTCAATATATGTTCATGGTCAGCTCATTAAAGGGGAAGCGAGGGAATACAAAAAAAAAACAAACATATATATTAATCTACTTGCTGCAGGATCAGTGTAATGCAGCTGCCCCTCGTTAGCCCTAAGCCCCAGAACTGAACAATCACATGACCACTGATCGCTGAGTTCTCGGGTCCGCTCTGAGCAGAGAGCAGTGAAGGTCAGTCACCACTCTCTGCTTTGTACCTGCAGTGCCAGCTGGAGTGCCAGGAAGGAGAGGGGGTGGAAGCAACTTGTTCAAGTTCCTAGTGGCACGCTGAGAGGCTGCCTGTAAGACATCTGGGTGAATCTCGGCATTATTGTCGGGATCCCTCCAGAGTCTGGAGGCGGTCTGTAATGTCTTAAGGCTACAGCATGAGATTGGCTGATTTTGGGTCACAGGAAAACGCAAGTAGATGCACTCCTGTGAACCATGAGAGAAGTATGGTCAAAAGATCTTTGACCATACTTCTCTTTAAAAGTAAAAGTATGTTTATGGGTGGTGACAGAACGTGGGATCGACAGAAGGTCCACCCAATGCAGGCTGCCTTTATAAAACCACAGGAGGAGGTGGATACAGACCAGGCAACAAGGATCAAGGACAAAGAGCAGCAGTGACTGGTCTTTAGCGATGACACCCCCACCACTGCATATCAAGAGACTGGAACACTGGTACTGATGAACAGAACAAGCACCGAGCTGTAAAGATTTTCAACTATAACAATGTAATCTAGAAGAGTGGCCACATAGTGGTTTTAGGGCTGTTTTTTTCCTTCCACGTTTCTAGATGTTAGGTTCAAGGAGGGTTGATCACACAGCATGAAACAGAAGTTATCATACATTTATCATACATTTATTTTATTGAGAAGGTATTGATGTACTACACATCACAGGTCTTATTAAAACCAGAAGACTTTTTTTCTTCTCACCAGTCTACGGCTGTACCGCACTTGGTCGTCTTCCATATCTTCCAGCTTTTCAAAACAACTATGAGTACTACCACCTAAACAAAACAAAAAAACAACAAAAAAAACACACAATTATAAAAAAAAGAATACTAATCACCCAGACACACATACAAAGTGTACTACAACACTTCCCACAATGTGCAGTCATGTCACAGATTTTGAATGGCACCCTAACATGCTAATATAATGTGCTACCAGAGAGGTGCCCTGCACTGGAAAAAATGATGCATGTACAATTTTTCCTACATTGTGGTACATTGGCAGCCCATTCAAATAGAATGGCTGCCTTAGAACAACGCATTTTAGTGTGCGGGATAAGGCGTGTTAACCTGTTCATCAACTGCGCAGTACATTTACTTCAATTGCCCTAAAGGCTGTTAATCATGCAATTAAAAATACAATTTAACACTACAGAGGATTCCATAAACTTGCAAGTCGAAAAATGCACACCGACCCAGTCTTCTGTCTTATAATCCCTTCCCATCAACACTGGCTGGCAGGCACTTTCTGCTTGTACCCGCAGCTATTAGATTTCTGTCACTTAGACACATGAAGAAGTGAGAGGAAATCTCTTCAAAGTTAGGTAAATATTGCAGAGTGAAGTGCATTCAAGATAAAAAAGGCAACAAGCCACCTCGTGAAAAAAAACACTAAAGAAAAAGTGGAGGATTCATACAATGACAGTACATACAGTGCCTTCCATTTTACTAGCTGATGCCCTGCACTCACAGTATGTTCTCAGTCTTTTAGGTTGACTGATGTTAGGCTGGAAGACAGAGGACATCTTGTGGAGGACGAGAGGTACTGCAGGTGAGAGTTTTGCCTATAAGGTGACTATTTCAGCTAGATCAGGGTGTACTCAACCTGAGGCCCCCAGAGCCCTCTACCTCAATCCAGGGAAGTACATGCCTGGGGTAGGCAACCCGTTGATCGCAATTCGTGCTTGCGGGTGCACTATCCCAGAGCATCAGAGTGCATCAAGCTGGTGCTGGCAGTGGAGGAAGTAAGTGGCCGCAGATGGAGCAGGAGCCGCATAAGCCGATGCTTCCTCTGTACCACCAGCTCCTGTCTCAGGTGTAGTGATACCAGGTGCACTTCGCCTGGGTCCTTTCTGGTAGCCTGGAGATGGAGAGCAGGTCAGTGTATTAAATAACACATACACTGCGCTTTTGCGATGGGCATATTAGTTTGGAAAAGCGTTAACTATTAGGCTGCTTGTGCAGTACAATGTACCTGCAGCTTTCCTGCGCAGCAAAACTCTTGAATGCAGGGTGCTGGTAAAATGCAGCGCATCAGTGTGAAAGCAGCCTTATACGGGACCCAGAACTGTAAGAACATGTTTACGTATGTGGTTTGGGGGGTGATAAAAATCCTATAGTTGAGATGTGTTCCTACCAACCATCCCCCCCAAACCACTGGTGTAGCATCTGGAGTCGCAATGGCAACCCCACCCCATGCTCCAGGGGGCCCATGCAGCCTCCCTGTCACATACTGTTTTATACTTGGATGGCAGAATATACAGGAACCGTTCCTCTTTATTTTCCTCCTGCAACTGCTAAAAGCAGACCTCCCCTCTCCCTCTCTTCCCAGAGAGAGGAGAGAGAGCCGCTGCTCTTGTGCACGGCTCAGGTAACTATAAGGGGGGCTGGCGGGAGCTGCATGCAGAAAGTATTTTACCTTAATGAGGTTGAAACCTCAGACATGAAACATGAACAAAGCATATCCCTCTATGTGTACTTGTCTCAATTGAGAGCACTAAGTGTAACTTCTGTCTGCTGTTTCTTTCCTCTTCTATCAGCATGAACCACTTCCAACATGTTTTTCTGACACCAAAAGAAAAATGGTGACAGGGGAGGGACCTCCAGCAAATTGACAGCCTCAGCACTGTTCCTGTGAGCTGTGTGAAAGGGGGGGGGGGTGTCTCTTCCCTCCAATCAGCTCTCCTCACTGAGCTCTGCAATGTGTAACTTCAGTTCTCCACCCCTTTTTCTGAACTCTCAGAAAAGCTTTATAAATTCAGCACTTTGAACAGAAGTAGAGAAGAGAAGACTGCAGATAGACAGGTACACCATATGTAGGAGGATTTGTTATCTCTCTGTGCATGATCTGAGGCCAGTCGCTTCACTGGGTATAGGTAAGGGTTTAAAAACAATACTAAATCAAGTGATCTGTGACGAAAAAAAAAAAAAAAAAAAAAGGACTATGCATGTAAAGCTGTGCCAATATCACCAATAGGACTGCAAAAGAGACAAAAACTGGCAAAAAGAACCCCCCTGGGATTTGCAACCACTTTAATGCATTCTCTGCATTAAGGTAAAAAAAACCTTCTGCCGTTAGAACCACTTTAACTGCTTCCTGTATGTCCTCAGGAACGAGCGGTAATATCAGGACCATTGCTGTTGGCTGCAGCCATGTCTGTAGGATAAAGTGATGGGTTTTGATTTTTTTTTTTTTTTAAGTTACATGGTATTTGCACAGCAGTTTTTCAAATGTAATTAAAAAAAAATACATTTTCATGAATTTTATCAAAAAAAAAAAAAACACAATATAATGCCCAATTTCTTGGTAAAATGTAAAAGATGATGTTACGCAGAGTAAATAAATATCTAACATGTCACACTTTAATATTGCTGATGCCTGTGGAATGGAGCCCAACTATGGCACCTAAAATTCTACACAGGCGACGCTGTAAACATTTTTACAAGTTACCAGTTTAGAGTAAGAGAGGAGATCTGGCACTAGAATTATTGCTTTCGCTCTGGTGTTCGCAAAGGTACCTCACGTGTGGTGCGATCACCATTTGCATATGCGTTCAGGACTTAAGTATGCGTTCGCATTTTGCGTGTAAGTACAGGGGGATGGGGAAGCTTTAATTTCTTTTTCCATTATTTATTCCAAAAAATTTTTTTTCATTGTCTCTATTTTTATTTCTATTCATTTTATTGCTATTACTAAGGATGAACAACATCCCTTGTGACAGCATGGAGAGATTTGGGGTCTATCAGACCCTAAATCTCTCCTCTGGACTCCATAATGCAGCCAGACACAGATCGGTCTGAGAGGCTGTTTTCCTGGCCACTAACAGCCAGGTAAACAGAGAGGCGGAACCGAAAGTGACAAAATTCTCATTGCATTGGTCACAGAGAGGAACAACATCAGTTCCTCTCTCTCTCTCTCTGTGCAGCTGTTGCCACTGGCCACAGCGCTCCCAGGCTCCACGACCAGACAAGAGAGCGGCCGGAGAGGGGGGGACCCACTTCTACCACCCGCCAAAGTGATCAAGGGGCTGTTCAGCCACTCAAATCACTTCTTACATAGTTAGTCTGGCTGAAAAAAGACAAATGTCTATCCAGTTAAATCATTGAAAAAAAAAAAAAAAAGTTATAATCCTATACTCACAGTTGATCCAGAGGAAGGCAAAAAACCCACCACAGCATGATCCAATTTGCTCCTGCAGGGGAAAAAATTATTTCCTGATCCCCCGAGAGGTAATCGGATATTCCCTGGACCAACGTTACCTATAAATGTTAGTATCCAGTTTTATTCTGTGTATCTAGGAAAGAATCCAGGACTTTTTTAAAGCCCTACTGGGAATTGCCAGCTGAAAATTCTGATACCGAGATGATGCCTGTAGCTGCAGGCATCATCCCGCTATAACCACCACAAACCAAGGACGTCATATGACGGACTATGATCAGCAATGGTTAAAACAACTAAAACAAACTAAATGTGTATAAGATTTACTTCTTCAATTATTAGCTTGCATAGGATTAAGCATTTACTACACCTCAAGTGTATAATGCAGCAGACAGGACAGGCGGGAGTAAACCTTGAACCTATCAGAAAGAACACCAGTGAAGTAGGCACCACTGGTCGGCAAACTCTCCTTCAGAAGAAACAATGCCTGAAACAGAAAAGAGCAGAGTCTTCGGTCACACGGAATCGGACTTTGAAATTGTACAACTTCACTTGAAGTCACATGATTTCAAAGTTGGATGTCAGTGCGACTTCAGGCCTGACTTGGAGGACATCTGTGCGACTTCATGCACCTAAACTTGCAAAAAGTAGTGAATGAACTACTTTCAAAATCAGTGCCACTCCAATGGAACGCTTCCATTGCGGACAATAGGGTGCGGCTTGTCATGCGATTTGAAACTATCAAACACCGGTGTGATCAGGGACTAAACCTGCTATTGACAAATAGTGTGCAGGGACCGGGACTACAGCCAAATCTATCCTTATGGTCGATACTTTCACCTCCTGTCCCTGACTGCTTTAAAGTGGATGTTACCCCTCATACATACCCAGAGAAGGGACTGGCCTCAGGTAATACAGAGATTAAACGAATCCTCCCTACATGAAGTTGTACCTGTTTATCTGCAGCCATATTTCTTCTACATCCATACAAAGTGCAGAATTACACAGGATCTTCTAGCTCTGAAAGGCAGGGGGTGGGGAGCTGAAGTTACCTTCAGTCAGCACTCAGAGCTCTCCTCACTGAGTGTAAGAGACACACCCACCTTCAAACAGCACACAAAAACAGAGCTAAGACTGTCAATCACAAACTGTGTCCTCCCCTATCACCATATTTTCCTTGGTGTCAGGAAAACCCATCAGAGGTGACTCATGCTGACAGCACAGGAACAAAGCAGCAGAGAGAAATTACACTTAGTGCTCTGGATTGAGACAAGCACACACTATAGATGGATATGCTTTGTTCATATGTCAAAGGTTTACAACTACTTCAAGATAGATATTCACCCACCATGTACACAGAAACAGAGCTAAGGCTGTCAGTCACAAACTGTGCCCTCCCCTGTCACCATTTTTTCCTTGGTGTCAGGAAAACCCATCAGATGTGACTCATGCTGACAGCAGAGGAACGAAGCAGCAGAGAGAAATTACACTTAGTGCTCTGGATGAGACAAGCACACACTATAGAGGGGTATGCTTTGTTCATATGTCAGAGCTTTACAACCATTTCAAGAGATAGATATTCACCCACCATGTACAGCAAGATTAGCAAGCATGAACAGG